TTTTAAGTTGTTTTTTTTGTTGTTGTTGTTGTTGTTTGGGGTTTTTTTTTAGAGGGTTTCACTACGTAGTTCAGCCAGACTGTTCTTTTCTTTTGGTACCGGGAATCAAACTCAGGACCTTGTGTTTTCCAGGCAGGTGCTGTGCCAGCTATATCCCCAGCCCTCAGACTGGTCTCAACTTACTACGCTCCTCCTGCCCCAGCCTTCTGAGTAGCTGGCATTAGAGGTGTGTACCACTAGACCTAATATGAAAAGGGAACATCAATACTACCAGCTATCTTATTAACCCTAGATTTATTAATATTATTTTAGGTTTTTATTTGTTTGTTTTAGTACCGGGAATCAAACTCATGACCTTGTACTTGCCAGGCAGGTGCTTACACTGCTGAGGTAATCCCTGGCCCTTTGGGAGTTTATTTTGAGGCAAGGTCTCTATGTAGTCAGGTCGAGCTTTGAACTATGTATTGCAGGCTGGCCTTGAACTCCAGGTGATTCTCCTGCTTTGGCTCCTGAGTGTAGGGATTGCAGGCATGTACCACCATATATTTTAATTATTATGACTTTTGAGATATTTTTTAATTTTTAATTTTTAAAATGTATACATCCATGTGTAAACATATTGTCTCACTAGTGTGAGAAGCTGAAACAACGTATGTATATGCATATTTATACATGTATATAGAAAATAGTTAAGATAGTTATACTACTGATTTCTCTGAGTTTTTCCCTGAAGAGAAAATCTTGTGCTGGTATTGTTCAGACAACTGAATGCAGATGTCTTGTGCTCTGGGTGAATGATTTGGGGATGACAGTGCACAATGTATGTACCACTGTTGCCCCCAATAGATGTGTCTTGAAATTTTGTTTTTATTTTTTTCACTTTAAAATACAATGGATTTGAAAAAAGACTTGATGATTCTGGTATAAAAATAAATAAAATAAAATCCATGTACATCCATAGAAAGCTGAGTTGAAAGAGCAGGACACAGCAGTCCATGCACCTCCAGCTGTGTTCCCTGCATCCACACTGCACCAACTGCAGGACAGTGTGGGCACTGGGCAACCAGTGTGGCTGGTGGTGTGGGCAGGAAAGGACCTAGCCTCTCCAGGACCCAGGACGCCCTCACTGCCTCTGTGACCTCCTCCCCGCCCCGTTTGAGCTCCTGACACCATGATCCACCCCCCACCCCCAACTCCAGAGAAGCAAAGACAATGAATGGCACAGCTTCGAATTGTGAAGGTGGGTTTTTTCCTCAGTGCTGGGTCAAACCCAAGGCCTCCCTGTGCCAGACAAGCTCTCTGCCACTGGAATACACCCTCAGCCCTTTTTGTTTAGTTCTTTTTATTTTGAGACAGGGTCTCCTGAAGTTGTCCAAGCTGGGCTCGTTTTTGATTCTCCTGCCACAGCTTCATGAGTAGCTGGGATCATAGGATGCACCACACCACCTGGCTACAGCATGGTAGTTTTCAACAGCTGACAGGTAGGTTGGCACATGCTGGTAATCCCAGCTGGGGTGGGAACATTACCTTGAGCTCAAGACCAGCCTGGGTTAAGACCAGCCTGGACTACACCATGTCTCAAAAAAACAAAAAATAAACAACAAAACCAAAATAAATACATAAACAGCTCTTAGACTTCTCTTAGTTTATTTTTTTATTTTTAAAAAATTTTACCAGTACATGTTTGCAGTATATGATTTCACTCATCACATACATTACCCATCCTTTCCCCAGTTTATTTTTCAAAGTCCTCTTGTAACTTAGCATATTCTACTTTCAGAATAAACTTATTATGGAAATACTCAAAACACACATGAAAATAGTATGGTGTGATATCTATATCTGCACCAGGCAACTTCAATCAATATTAGTCCATTTTCCTCACTTTTTCCCAGTATTTCTGAGCAAATTCCATATATGTAATTCTACCCATACGTATTATAGTATATCTCCCTATCAGGTAAGGACTTTATTTTAGCTTTACTACAATAGCATTATCACAACTAACAAAATTACCTAGATTCTGTATTATTATCTAATGCTCATTCTGACTGTCAGGACAACCCACCCCATGGAGAGGCACACCTGTGCACACCAGCACTTGGGAGGCTGAGGCAGCAGGACTTTTGAGTTCAAGGCCAGTGTGTGCTATATCTTAAGGCCCTGTCTCAAAATAAATAAATAAGAAACAAGGCTCAGGCTGAGGATTTAGCTCAGTGGCATAAGCCCCTGCCTTGCAAGTGTGCAGTCATGAGTTCAATCCCTGGTACCAAAAGAAAAGAAAAGAAACAAGGCTGACCCAGTCTGGGTTTACACACTGAGATTTTGGTTCATTACAACCCCTCGTTTCTTTGTGCCATTTATTCATTGAAGAAACTGGGTTATTTTTCAGCAGCAGTTCCATCATTCTAGAAGAGGCTGATCGTAAAGAGGTGGTGCATTAATCTCTACAGAGATGCATATAGGTGCAGCAGTGCAAAACCCTGAGCTATGCAGACCCAGCAGGGGCAGTCTGACACTCCCAGCCACCACGGTGATCCACACAGGACAAACTTCTTCCTGCCTCACTCCTTCCTCTTGACCTGGCCTCTGCCCTTGTGCAACAACTTATATCACACCCCAGCAGCTTGAAACAATTGTTCTTTCTCACAAGTGCAGGGTCAGAAGCCCAGGACAGATGTAGTTGAACAGTTACTCCTATGGGGGTCCCAGTAGTCACAGGCAGATGTTACTAGGCCACACCTCAGCAAGCTCTGCTGGAGGTGGTGAGGCTAGGATTGCTCCTTGCAGCCTGCATCCGTGCGGCTTCCAGCCTCAGAGATGGGCACCACTGATGCAATTTCTCTGGGGTCTCTCACATTGCCTAGCCTGGCCTCAAGCCATGCTCTGCCTCGGCCTCCCAATGAACAGGACCACAGGTGTGCCCCACTGCACCCAGCCAGACACAGTTACTGTGTTCTTTCACATTGTTATTTGCATTGGTCCAGAGGATCTGGTGTGTGCACAGGGTTCATCTGGTCTCTTTCTGCACCCCACCGATGCAGTTCTAAGAACATCTCCATCACTAGAGTCCCCTTGTGTTCATGGCCCATCCTCACTTCCATTCCTGACCCCAGACAGCCACATTCCTGCTTCTTCCTACTGCTCTCTCTTCCAGGACATCTCACACACAGGCAACCCTGACTCTGTGTATCCTTGGCCCTGGCTCCTTTCCCTTGGCAAGGAGTTTGAGGGTTATTCCACAGGGCAGGATGTGGCTTGTTCCTTGTTCCCACTGAACATGTTCCATTGCTGAAGAAACCCCAGCCTCACAGGATCTCACTGTGCAGCTCTAGCTGGCTGGAACTGGTGATCCTCCTGCCTCAGCCTATCAAGTGCTGGGATTACAGGCATGCAACACTTCACCTGGCTTATTTTGTATTTTGAGACAGACTAAGTTGCCCAGGTAAGACTCAAACTTGCAATCCTCCTGCCTCAGCCTCCCAAGTTCTGAAATCACAGGTATGCACCTCAGTATTTGGCTAGTCTTCTGGTTTCCCTTCAAGTCTGCCATCTTCTAACCCTGAGTGACACTGTGTGACAGATGCTGCTGGTGCCCTCCAACTGATAGTCCTTTGCTCTGTCCCTCCCCACTCATGTACTTGCAGGGCTGCACCCACCCTAAGATGTTGGCCAGGGAAGCCCCTGGGGAGCGCAGCCTGGCCAGCAGCAGCAGGGAAATGTACCTGTTGGAGTCTGTGGGCAACACCAGAGCCCTTTGACTCCCTGGAGCAATGGAGGAACTCATCCCTGACACCAAGGATGGCAAAGGCCTTGACATCATAGCTGTGCTGCTGGGCAACCACTCTGAGTGCCTGTTTCTACCCCTTTCTTTGCGACCTTAAACACTAAGTGACAGCCGCCTCCGCTGGCTTTTCTGTAACTGTGGTGGAGGCAGTTCCTGAGAGTAACACAGCATTTTCCATTGCTCCCCAGGACACTGACTCTTCCAACAGCCCTTGACTGAGGGGCTCCCAAATTCAAGCCGGGGCCTCTCACCAGAGCCCAGTGCCTGGATTTCAAACTGCCTCCTGCAGCACTCTTTGCTGATGCCATGGGCGTCTTAGCCTGAGATGTTCCTGTTCCCTGACCAGCCAGTCATTCTTCCACATCTGAACACGGCACGCCCTGCCCCGGTCTCTGCAGAGCAGCTCCTGCTGCTTCCACCTCCTAATCCTTCTGGAATTCCTGCCAACACTGCCTCCTGGTTCCCACCAGGTTACATTTGGGCCTGGAATGCTGCTCCTTCCTGAGCCCCTTGCTTTCCCTACCAACTCTGGTTTTGGGATCAGAAAGACTTTCCAAAGCACAGATCCCACCATACCTGTCTTTTATTTCTTTGTCTTTTTTTTTTTTGTCTTTTTGAGACAGGGCCTCACTATGCAGTTCAGGCTGGCCTTGTGCTAACTTTTTAGCCAAGGCTGGTTTCACACTCAAAACAATCCTCCTGCCTCAGCCTCCCGAATGCTGGGATTGCAGGCATGAGCCACCACGCCGACTACTTATTTGTCTTTTTGAGACAGGGCCTCACTGTACAGTTTAGGCTGTCCTTGCTTTCACTTCGTAGCCCAGGCTGGCCTCGAACTCACAGCGATCCTCCTCTCTCAGCCTCCTGAGTGCTGGGATTACAGGCCTTTTAAAATATTTAACAGTGCCTTCTTCACAACCCATATGATAAATATGTATTTGGGCTTCTTCGTGCCTTTTTGGGAGGGCTGGACACTGAGGACTGAACTCAGGGCCTTCGAACTAAGCTATGTTTCCAGCTCAGTTATTTTTTGAGGTAAAATTTCTCTAAATTGCCCAGGCTGAACTCCAATTTGCAATCCTCCCACCTCATCCTCCCGGATTACAGGCATCTGCCACCACCCTGGTCTCAACAGAGTCTTAGAAAATGAGAACCCTGTTCACCACATCCCCGAGCATCTCGACGACGGTGCAGGCTTCCTGGGGTCTCCTACCTTCCCCGGAAGCAGGAGGCTGTCTCTGTGCGGCTGTCCCCGTCGACAGGAGGTTGTCCGAGGGCTTCCCCGACTCTCCGTCTGCTTGTCTGGACTCCTGGGACTGCTTCTCCATCAACTTGTCCTTAGACTTCGTGAAAAAATAGGAGGAACCCTTTTTCTGCTCTTCATCTGCAATACAGGAGTAACGAATCACATCCACAGCTTACTGAATCCGGGCGACGGCGCCTGGCTCTGCTGCCCGCAGGTCCGGGAAAACTCGGGCAGCGGGCTCATCCGGCGGCGGGTCCGTTACCTCGCCTGTCTTCGGTTTTGCTTTTGGAAAGTCCCATAGGAGAGCCCACCACTCCGCGGGCGCCTGCCGTCCCCAACTTCTGCAGCCCGTCCCAACCCGGCTGATTTACAATACTCACCCTCGCACTAACGCCCAGGCCGGTCACTACGGTAACCATACGCCTCGCGAGACTTCCAGGATCCTGCTCTAGGCAAGCGCCGTCCTCACGCGAGAGCAAGCCTGGAGACCGGAAGTGGCAGCAACTCCGGAAGTACCCTCCGCTTCCCGCTGGTCCGAACGCTTGTGTTGTTGCGCTGCCCCGAGGGGTGCGCCGGTGTCAGCCATGGACGGTAAGGGCCGCCGGCCAACTGGGGCCGCGGGTGGGACTCTGTAGACTTCCGGCTCCCTGTCCCGACTCGACACCGTGCATCCTGCCACCCGGGCCTTGATCCTGACCCGACTCAGATCCCGCAGGCCTCCATCCCTATCTCGACCCCGGATCGATTCCTGATTCCGACCTAAGACCTGGACCTCAGACCCCTCCTCCGACCCTGGTCCTCTATGACTTCTCTCCAGCTACATCCCAGCTGTGAATGAACAGCAGATATCATCTTTGGTCTATGGGGCCTTGAAATGTAGGATCACTGGGTACCAGAAAAGGTGACAGTTGAATCCCCTAACCTCAGCATACCACCCAGAGAAATGGGAATGGAATGGCTTGATCAAATGCTGTAAGCCTTACAACAGCTATTGGAGATAGGAAGACAAGTTGGGGCAAAGGCACCCCAACCAATCTACTTCCTAATTCTCTTTCACTTCCGGATGCTCAGAGCTCAGGATCCTCGGAAACTAGAAAAGCTAGATGTGGGGGCGTACCTGTAATCTCAGCACTAGGGAGGCTGAAGGAGGAGGATCTGGAGGATAGCAAGACCCTGTCTTAAAAACAAAAGCAAGATGAAGGTGCCTCCATTTGCAGAAACCTTTGTGGGCTTGTATGATAGACTTTTATTTAAAAAGATAACTTTTCAAAAGTACAAAGCTGTGAACCACACCACTGTCATAAAGGAAGTGTGCAGGATCTCTGTGTGGACAGAGTAGGCAGGGCTACCTCTACCCTCCCTTGACCCTGAAAAAGCCTGGTTGGGTGCCCGACAGCTCACTGGACCTTTTTAGGGAACTTTTCTTAAGCCCCACTGGACCTTTTTAGGGAACTTTTCTTAAGCCCCGTCAGATATCTGTGACCCATGGTCTAGAGCACTGAGACTGGAGGTGGGTTGGTCAGATGGGTGGGCCACATCTGGGCAGTGTTGTTTTATCTACCCCATGTCCAATGACAGAGACCCAGCTGACTTTGGCCTTGATCAGCACCTGCTTTGAGGCGTGACATATTGGTGGCTGCAGAGCTCATCCAAAACCCTTGTGTCATTCAGGAGCCTTGGTCATGTGTGGACATTTGGTGTGCCTCTGGGCTGCTGGGGTGAACCCTATTGTTAGCAGGGTTAAAATCTTAGTAGACTAGATCAGTCTGATCTACCTGACTCTTAGTTTGATTAATGATTATGAAAGTGCCCTAAGACTGACGTGACTGACTGACGAGACTGACACAGTGCCTTGAAAGAGGCAGCTGCCATGCAGCCAGCTCTCTGGTGGCCTGAATGTTATCACCTTGCTATTTCTTTTTTTTTTTTTTTTTGGTACCAATTCACTACTTCATGCTTGCAAGGCAGGTGCTTATGCCACTGAGCTAAATCCCCGGCCCAAACATATATTCTGATAGATAGAACAAACTTTCAGGCATACAGGCCTGAATCAGTATTCCTCTACTGTGTATTGTTTTTGTTATTGTTTCATTTTTGGTACCGGGGATTGAACTGATGACCTCGTACTTGCCAGGCAGCGGGTTACACCGCTGAGCTAAATCCCCAGCCTTCACCTTGCTATTTCTATCCATTTCCCTTTGGGAAAATGGAGTATGTGAAAGAGTAGACTGTCAAGTGCTAAACATTAAGTTGGGAAAGAATTCCAAGGTGTTGGCAAAGTGGCACTAACTATAAACCACTGTCACAAGTTCTTCCCATGGGTGAAAGAGAGCTGTGCACAGCCCTTGTCTCTTTCCCCCTCACCCTTTCTGGGTGGCTATGCCACCTGTGTTCCCAGTGAGGAAAAGGGTGAGGGAGAGTCTGTGTTGGCTTGATCCCTGTGGCTGATTGAAGGGGCCAGGCCTGGCAGCAGCCCAGGTGAATTCTGTCTGCATCTGTGTTCCATGTTGGCTTCCAGCATCCATAGGCCCTTGGAGTCCATCTCTTGCTAGAAGAACCACTTGTCATGTTTCTTAAAACTCTCAGACATTTAAAAAAAAAAAAAAAAAACTCTCAGACATAGCAAGACCCTGTTTCCTGTGTCTTTGCAGATACGCTGTTCCAGTTGAAGGTATGTGCCCACGGACTACTTATCCCAGCCCTGCCCTGCCGATTAACAATGAAGACAAGTGGGACAAGTCCCCAGAAATACGCAGATCCTCAGAAACAAAGTTGGGGACAGATTGTAAAACTATGAGCGACTGCCACACAAGGCTTAGATTGCTGACCCAGGCAGGATCATGGAGTGGCTCTTGTGTCCACCTGAGTAGAAGCAGATAGCTCTGGTTGCTCTGTGAAAGACAATGTTATCTTCAAGAAGCACAGCATCAGTCTATGCACATGCCTGGATGGTTTGCAAAGGATTTAAAACTCTTGAAGGGTTGGGGATTTAGCTCAGTGGCATAAGAAGCTGCCTGGCAAGCGTGAGATAATGAGTTCGATCCCTGCTACCACAAAAAAAAAAAGCAAGGCTCCCTCAAATGTGTTACAGATCTTTTGTTTTGGTGGTGGAACTGGGCACTGAACTCAGGGCTTTCACCCTGAGCTACATTCCATTTTTTAAATTTTGAGACAGAGTCTCCCTAAGTTGCTCAGGCTTGGATTTAACGATCCTCCTCCCAGAGAGCTGAGATTGCAGACTGCACTAACATCCTGGGTTATACATTGCAAGTATGCAAAGGGATGTTTGTAGCTCCCTAGTAGTACAGTGCCTGTCCTGTCATGTTTCTTTAGATCTTGCACAGCTATGCATCCAGGGTCAGGGTCCTCTTCATGGCTAGTTCTGAGTCGGAGGGAGGTGTGCAAGCTGTAGGACGTATCTCTGGAATATTATTTTTGGTACTGGGAGTCAGACTCACAACCTCACACTTGCCCAGCAGGCACTATGCCACTGAGCTATATCCCCAGCCCCTCTAGAGTATTCTTTTGGTACCTCAGTAAGATGCTCTTGCTGTGGCCAGATGTCCTCACTAAAGCAGTGATTGTGAGAGGCCTCATGTTAGGGCCTGCAGGGATGTGAGCCTATGATATGCTAGTGACCAGGGTCCCATCGCTGGCTTCAGACTGGGGTGGCTAGACTGGGGACCCTGATACCACTTCCTGTTGGTGTCAGTACAGCAATTAGGTCTAGGGGAGATGAATGTTTCTTTTCCTATGAAGACTCTGCTTCGAGGACTGTTTTTATCTCAAGCTCCATGCTGTTATTTTGGGGCTACCCTTTAGCAGGTTCTTGCCATTCTCTTCTGAGTTGAAAGCCCTTCTGTGAGCAGCCGTGGGGTCTGTGGCTCAGTGGGGTATTCATGGAGAGGACAGGATTTTAGAAAGTTCTCACAGAGACGAGGTATTTTCTTCCTCACTCGGAGGCTATCTTTGACAGCCCCCAGGGTGTCCACCAGAACACACATGGGCAGGGCCCAGTGTGGACGGGAACTGGATGTGGGGCCTGGAGAAGGCTGCACTGATCCTGTGTGTGGGTGATGCATGGCCTCTTCCAGTTCACAGCAAAGCAGCTGGAGAAGCTCGCCAAGAAGGCAGAAAAGGACTCCAAAACTGAGCAGGCCAAGGTGAAGAAGGTGTGTGGCCTCCCTGTGTCCAGGGATGTTCTTTTTACCCTTGTTTTTGTTGGTTGTTTCGTTCTGACATCTTTCCTTTTCTTTTGGGCTGAGCAGGCATACAGGAGCAGGGTGACCCCACCTTCAGCCTGTTTAGTCTTCTTGTGTTACTTTCCCGCCTCCTAAGCTTCACCCAGGGCTGCCAACTCTGCCATGGTCCCATTGTTCCTCCCCTAGTCTCTTGTGGAGCTGGTCCCAAGGCACTGGGGTCTGACAGAGATGCAGGCTGCCCTCAAGGGATCAGGACAGGAGACTTGTGGGACCTCAACTGTGAGAGACCAGGAGAGGGAAAGAGAGGGGTGGGTGTTCTCAGAGACTGAGCAAAGCCTGTGCTGCTCTTTAGTGCCTCGTTGGTGAAGGAGTCCTGTGGTGTGCATCTGGGGACTCCTCACTCCAACTTGGGACTCCCAGTCCAAAGGGATGCAGCCAGCCAACTGAAGCCTGAGTTGTGCTCTCTGCCTTTCCCTTGGTGGCTGGATCGCAGGTCCTGAGTGTCATGCATGCTGCCCTACGCTCTTGGCTGAGCTCTTCAGGGGCCTAGAGCCCCTGCAGACTGCACACTGCCACCCTCCATCCTCAAATGCCTGCTCCTCTGCAGGCCTGGGCCTCATAGGTATTCCTGGTGTGCACCCCAGGGAAGGCTGCAGGGCCTCCCACAACAGCAAGCCCTGCCCTCAGAGGTTAGTACAAGGCTTCCTACAGGGTGGCTGTGACTTTCAAGGTACCCATGAATGCCTCTCTGGCCCTTAGGCACTGCAGCAGAAGAATGTGGAGTGTGCCCGGGTATATGCAGAGAATGCCATCCGAAAGAAGAATGAGGGTGTGAATTGGCTGCGCATGGCGTCCCGAGTGGATGCAGTAGCCTCCAAGGTGCAGACAGCTGTGACCATGAAGGGGGTGAGTATGAGGGGTCTGGTGGGTGGAAGGGGGAGTTGAGGAGCCATGCTGGCACGGACATGGGCAGGCTTGGGAAGGGCTTCCTAGGGCCTACACAGCTTCCCATGTGCCACAGAGGTCACAACTGATCGATCCCTTGAAGGCCCCATTGAGCTTTCAACAGCCAGCCCCAAGTGGCTATGTTCTGGGTCTCCTGTGCATGTGTGTGCCAGCCTGTAGCATTTCCTGAGTCGGAACCTGGGCCCATGGGTGACCCTGTTACCTTTTCCCACTCTCTGGCCCAGGTGACCAAGAACATGGCCCAGGTCACTAAAGCCCTGGACAAAGCCCTGAGCTCCATGGATCTGCAGAAGGTGTCTGCAGTGATGGATAGGTTCGAGCAGCAGGTGCAGAACCTGGATGTACACACATCGGTATGTGGCCACGTGGTCTATGGTGAGCACGTCCAGAGAGGCAGCCTGCTTCTCAGTGTCACCAGGAGCCCTCTGAACAGATCTCTGGTGGGCTGGGAGAGGGGGTAGGTACTCAATCCCTGCTGGAGAGGCCAAGCACAAAATGATGTAGAAAGTGGGCACAGGGCTGGGTGGCAGGAGAGCTCCCTGTGGTGGGCTCCCTGTGGGGGACAAGGGGACAGAGAAAGTGTCCTGAGTAGAGCAGCCACGTGGCCGGAGTGGGATGAAGCCCTACGAGTCTGGGGTCCCTGTGGCCCGGCCTCCACTGCCCTGACATCCCCTCAGGTTATGGAGGACTCCATGAGCTCAGCCACCACGCTGACTACACCCCAGGAGCAGGTGGACAGCCTTATCATGCAGATTGCCGAGGAGAATGGGCTCGAGGTGCTGGACCAGCTCAGCCAGCTGCCCGAGGGCGCCTCAGCTGTGGGCGAGAGCTCCGTGCGCAGCCAGGAGGACCAGCTGTCACGGAGGTGGGGCCATGCCCTGTGCAGGATGGGGACTTAGTGTCTGCGGTGTGTGCAGTCTGTCTGCATGAGTGCTCACTTGGGGAGGGTTCTCCGCTGCTCCTGTTGGCCAGCATTTTTCATTAGCACTGTTGCAGGACAACCTGGAGCTGTGGGGACCCAGAGGGATAATGAGGTGCTGGGATGGAGCTCTGGCTTGCATCTGGTAGGGTGCAGTGTTTCTGAATCCCTGCCTGGCCTCTCTCAGAGTCTTGTGTTGACTTCCAGGTTGGCTGCCTTGCGGAACTAGCTGCTCACTGTGCTGTGACATCCTGCACTATGACATCTCAGAGGCACTTGTCTCCACCCTTGCCCTCCTTGCCCTGCAGAGCTGTAACCACCACCTTGCTGCTCCTCTCACCACCAGGCCTGACAGCCTCCGAGCTGATCCTGTCTCTCTTGTATTGGAGCTGGGCTATGTCTTGTAATTGAGGCAGCATAGACTTGTGTGTGGGTGATGTCCGTGACCCTGGGCCAGCAGCAGGGAAGTCACTAGGCTCCCTGCACCCCCTGTTGTGGCCATGACTGCAGACCTGCTGCTCCCTGCAGCTGAAGGGGTCGCAGCTACCCTGCTCTTGGGCAGCTCCCTGACCCCCTCTTCACTGCCCTGCAGGAGGGGAGGTAGACCTCTGTGTGTGAGAGATGTTGAGTGCCACCAACACTGTCCTTGGGCCTTTGTGGAAGGTGCCCTGCCCCTTCTCCGTTAATCCAGGCTAGGCCCATCCACAGCTGCCAGTGGCTGAGCCTGCTTGGCCTCCTGCCCTTGCTCCTCAGTTCTGCAAGGTGTCTAGTCCACAGGGACAGAGCCATTGCCTGGGCCCTCATCCTCTTGTGGCTCCTCTGGAGGTGCCTTGGGCCACTAGGCTGAGCTCTGCATTGCCTGTGTCACTGACCAGAATCTGGGCTCCTGTGGCAGCCCCGCCTCTTCCTGGTGCCTCTCTGTGATGCCACTATGTGTCTGTCCTGCATCTGTAAATGACAGGTGCCATGGGCTGTGACCCGCCTATTCCTGAGCTTGGAAGCCAGTCCCTGGCAATGTGGTCCCTGGGGCTCTGTGAGGACAGCCTGCCATGTGAGGGTCAGCCAGGGGGACTAAGGGCTTCCAGCACAACCTGCTGTATTTGTTTCTTTTTTTCTGTTTCTGGAAGTTTACTTCATGTTCTTTAACTCCCAGGGTTTTGTTTTTGCCAAAGTAGAAAGCAGGTGGCCCGCATGTGTGGGGTCCACCCGAGTGGCACTAGTTCATGGACTTTTTCTGAACATGGTTGGTTCTTTCTGTCTGGACCTGGAAGCCGAGGTGGTAGGGGGAGGGGAAACTGGTGAGGCCTAGGTGTGGGGGTCCAGGTGCTGTCTGGCGGTGGCCCTTCCAGACTCCCCACATAGTGTCGTGTGGGGTGCTGGCCAGGTAGGAGTATAGGGGCATCAAGGAGGGCAGTGTGGTCACCCTCATCCTGAAGTGCTGTGAAAGTAAATAAGTTGATTGTTGAAAACTCTCTGGCTTTGCTTTAGTGGCCTTGGGTGGGCTGGGGAGACACAGATGAGACCCAGGATGCTCTCTCCCTCACACCCAGGTCAGGGGTTGGAGGCCCAGCTCACGGGCTGGAGGGAGGCAGGGCTGCACTGCAGTTACCAGTTGAGTCCTTCTTAAACTGCCACCAGCCTTGCTCACAGTTCTCAGACGTGGTCTGTTCTTTGGTTCAGCACAGGCATGCAGTCCCAGCACAGTGTTGCTGCCCAACCTCAGTGCCTCCATCCTACCTAGGCTACAATGCTCACCCTACAGGGCTCCGGCCCGCCTGCCCCTTGTTGTGGGCCCTCAGCATCCCAAAGAGGGCACATAACTGCCCAACTCGCACAGCTGTGCACCCTCTGGGTGATGGAGGCACATGTTCACACCATGCTATAATATACAGCACTGAGTAAAAACTTTCCCAGTTAGCAGAATGAGGTATCCCACCTCAGCCCACCAGGAGCCTGTCTTAGTTTTTCTTCTGCAGCCCTCCAGCCCCATCAGCAGTTCTGGACAAAAGTTCTGGCTGGATCTCATCCATCTTGAGGTCATCCATGCTCCTGATAGACCTTTGAAGCCACTCGTGGAGCTGCCCCTGGGCCAGATACATGGAGAAAAGGCCAAGCCTCATCTTGGGACAGTGCCATGAAACTGGGAGACCATACTACCCCTGCTCCCTGCAATGGGTGGTCTGGGCCATGGAGGAGCTCCAGATCCATCCTATAACACAGCCCCACCCCTGGGCCGTGGCCACTGCATCCACTCTTAGACCAGAAGTGGAAGTGTCACCCTCACCCTCACAGTGTCCACCCTCACCAGTGTCTACCAGTGGGGCAGCACTGGCAGAGCTGTTCCTGTCCACATGTGCAGTTGGCGTGAGCTCAGCAGCTCCTTCCTGGACATGGAGTGACAATGAACTGAAGCCCACAAGCCACCTCCAGATACCTCTAGCTCTGTGGAAGGCATGGAGCCTGTGCTCTGACTGGCAGGTGGCAAGGTGATGCCATCAGTGCCTTGCGTCTAAGAGGTGTGGGGCCCGGCGCTTCCACACACCACGTAAGGCTGTTAGGGATGCACTACAGAGTCACGCCCTGGGTCTCTGTAAAGACAAATCCAAAGGCTGCAGGAGCATACATGAGCCAGGTACAGGCACATATGTGGTATGTCTCCGTGAGTGTACCATGTGGGCCGTGTGTGCAGTGCATTGCATGAGTGCGTGTGGTGTGGTTTCTGAGCTGGCTGTTTAAAGAATCCTTGCACAAGGTGTGCAGTGACTTTTCCTGAGGTTCTGGGCTCCCCTAGTCCTCACTCTCCAGGACCCTGGTCCCAGGGCCCAGTGTCTCCCTGGCACCTTCCTCCCTAAATCTGCCCTTTGGGACCAGAGTGTTGAAGACACAACTCAGGAGTGAAGGGGCCAAGGCTTTATTGAGATCCACTGTGTGTCCAAGCCCAAGGCCACCCAACCTGTCCAAGGTCTGCACCCGATGGAGGCTTCTCTACACTCCTGGTAAGCTGGCAGGTACTGGCTTCTGAGCATCACAGAAAATGCAGGCTGAGGAACAGGGGAGCCAGGGAGGCCAGGAGGGCACCTGGCCTGAGGGAGAGACTGGGGGCTGTCGAGAGGCCATACTTTGTCCTGCAGGAGCCATCCAGCATGTGCAGGGGAATGGGAACTTCCTCAGGGGTGCTTGTGAGGTTGCTCACCTAGGTACGGGTAGATGAGGTGAGGTGGTGCCCAGCAGACAAGGGCAGGGTGCCAGCAGCTCCTCCTCACCTGCTCCACTTCCTTAAAGACCCTCAGGAGGTTTTCTGCCAGCGCACCCCTGATCTCCTCCTCTGTCCATTTCCTCCGGAGCAGCTCGGCCACCAGGTCTGGGTACTTGGAGACGTCTTCAAGCCCCTCAGGCAGCCTGGTGAGGTAAAGCAAGGCTCTTCAGACCCCACTGCCCTGATCACAGAGGCCAGATCCCTGGGTGCTCTCCCTCCCTGGCTTGGGATGTGCTGGTCACACCTTACCTGGTCACACCGTCATAGTCTCCACCAAAGCCCACAGCCTGGGCTCCGGCCACGTTCTTTATGTGGTCCAGATGGTCTGGGGGAGCACAGTTTGTGAGGTCTCTGACCAGGCCTGCCCCACACTCCCTAGGTGCCCCCACCTACCAGCCACCTGAGTCAGGTTGGCCTTGTCCGAGCAGGACACGTAGTCAGTGTAGAAATTCACCATCACCAAGCTGCCCGTGCTCTTCTGCTCAGGAGAGACGGGCACTGAGTGCTAGCCAGCACCCCTGGGCAGCACCTGCTGTGGTCCCCACATGGCTCACCACCAGTTCCAGCACGTCATCGGGCACATTCCGCTTGTGGGGGCACAGCTTGTAGGCGGATGAGTGGCTGAAGATAACGGGCGCTGAGGACAGCTGCAGGGCTGCCTTCATGGTGGCCACTGACACATGGGCCAGGTCAATCATGACACCCAGGCGGTTCATCTCCCTCACCACACTCTGGGGCGGGAATAGTGCTGGGTCAAGGCATGGGGGAGCTGGGGGCCATTCAGGGCTCAGTATTGAGGACCAGCAGATCCCCAAGCACTGCCCTGGGTCTGCACAGCAGCTGTACTTTGCTCATGAGGAAGCCAAGTTTCTGAGAGGTGAGACCCAGGCTCTACGCTCCTCCTTCTGGGATCCCCAACCTGCTCACCTTCCCAAAATCTGACAGCCCCTGGCTCTCGGCCTTGTCATCCCCGGTGTCCACCAGCCAGTTGTCAGCCCTGTGAGTGAGTATTGGACATGGAGAAGGGGTATCAGTCCCTGTACCCGACTAGGCTGAAAGCACAGTGCCTGGGGGCAAGTGTGGTGGTGTGGGGTCCCTGTCCACATACCCAGCACCATGCAGGGGACCCTTACCAGGGTGTGTTGCAGCTGTGGGTGAGGGTCAGGTAGCGCATCCCCAGGTGATACAGCGCCCGCAGGACACCCAGGCTACTGTCGATGGAGTGGCCACCCTCCACGCCCACCAGGCTGGCCACCTTACCCTGCTGGAAGGCCTTCTGGATGCCTGCAGGGGAGGAGGGCACAGCATCCAGGGGGCCGGATCCCCACCTCACCACACTGTTGCCCCTGCCCAGGCCAGCCAGGCCCCACCTTCACTGCTGGTAACACACATGAAAGTCTCGGGGTACGCCTGACACATGCGGTGGATTACATCAATCTGTTCCAGTGTCCTCTTCACAGCATCTTTGTTCTGGGTGTCACAAGGCACGTATGCAGACCAGAACTAGGGATGGGGTACAGCAGGAGCTCAGGCCAAACCTCAGGGTGACCAAGTGTCCCAGCAGGGCCTCGTTCTCAGGCCACCCTGTGACACCCAACGGGCACAGCTACCTGGCCACCTACGAAGCCAGCCTTCAGCTTTGGGATGTTGGTGTGTGTGCTGCTCAGGGTGTTCAGGTTAGCCTTCTCATCCTGCAGCTGGTTGTTGAACTTGGTCAGCAGCTGCCAGGGCAGGTCATTGTGCCTGGGGGCATAAGTACCTGGGAGTTCAGGCTGCTCTGTCCACCAGACACACCTGCACATGGTGAGCACCCCACTGTGCTCCCCCAGCCAATGACCCAAGCTGGGGTAGCCAGGACTTCCTCCTGCGGGACTTCCTCCTGCTCCCCTCATAGTTGCCCAGACTGGAGGAAGCCAGCCAGATTGTCTGGATGAACCCAGTGTTTGAGGTTACAGTGGCCCTGGCAGGGATTTCCCTTACAAGGTCTGGGAATGTAGGGCACTGGGTACAGCACCCTGGGGCTGCTGCCCACACTGAGGAAAGAGTCCTGCACCCAGTTCCTGAGAATCCTCTGCCCCAAGCCAGCTCCATGAGGGCCACCTCCAGTTGCCAGGTAGGTCCCAGACCCTGGGGGCAGAGCCCAGGTATCACCAGGACTCTATGGAGAAAAACAGGCTCAGACTGGCAGCACCATCACAGGCCCCAGGCAGCACACTGTAGGCACTGTCTGGTGGCTTGGAGAGCCTGTGCTGGGCTCAGCAACACCATCCATGCCCCCTCTCAGACTGAGTTTCCACTCTGTGGTGCACGGAGATCATAGCAGCTTGTGCAGAGGTGACCGGGGTGAGTGAGTAGCACAGCTGTGGTGTGCGGGTCCATGCCGACATGCACATCCCTAAGCAGTTCCTCCCATGGCCCACACTGAGGCGCGCACATGCACTGAGCATTGTGACAGCTCCAGGCACCGCACTCACACCTGTGGCCTCATCTTCCTGATGTCCGGGTATGATTCATCATGGCTCCTGTGGGCTGTGCTGACTGTATGTCCAGGTCCACCCTGGGGACTGAGGCAGGCTGACCTCGTAGCTCCTCTAGGAAACTTGTCCTCACCTGGCTGGCACCATCCCAACTCATCCTCCACCAAGGGCTTGACTGGGACTCTGGGTACCTCTCTGGGCACCAAGGCACCTGCCATAGGGGCCACTTTCCAGGAACTGTGGGATTTACATGACTTGAGGGACAGGCAGAGCCTGTCTGTATATGGCATTTGTGAATGAATAAATGGATAGATGAGCAGATGGGTGGCTAGGTGAAGGAGTGGGTGAGGAGGTGCATGAATGCATGGGTGTGCTACATCTGAGGGCCCCTCCTTGCTCTCCAGGGTGGGGCTAGGTGGGGTCCTGGGAAGGGACTTCAGTCCTCAGCCTGAGGACACAGGTGTGGTCTAGAGGACAGTTGGGGTTCTGGGCTGTGGAGAAGTTGCACTTGTTCTCTGTCCCCTTCCCTCCCTGGCAGGGGGTGAAATATCAGGGTGAGATCCCTGACCTCTGCCCAGGGTAGGGACACTCGAAGCTCCTCCACCCTCTGCGTGGCCCTGCATAGTGACCTCAGTGGGCAGAAGAGGCCAGTCATCTGTGGGGCACTTCTGGTGGCTACTTTTATCCATGCTCTTCTCGCCTTTGGTAACATGCCTCACATTTTTAGCCGGACACCTGGTCACTCAGAATGAAGAAGCTTCGTGGTCCCTCTGTAGCAGGGTATGGCCTTGTGACTAAATTCTATCCTGTGGTTCCAGCAGTTCTGCTCTACAGATGGCTATTTGTACACCCCTTATCCTGCTTGCTGGCTAGTGTGGTATGTGATGGCTGGAGCTAGTGCAGCTGTGTGAACCATGAGGCATGGGAGCCTCTGAGTTACTTACATGAGAGGGCTTGTTTGTTGGGACTGCTTGTTTGGGTCTCTTACCTGAGATCAAACTGATGGCCCCATGGACTCTAGCTTTCTGCCTCTAGACAATCCCAGCTCCCCACACCCCAAATCCCTACCCATTCCTGTCTCTTTTGGAGGGCCCTCTCCCTCCTCATGTGGTTCTGCACAACCCCCAGTGCCTGGACTCGGGTGTTGCTCTCTGTGCCTAGCTTGTGGAAAGAGCCACTGCCAGCCTCCCTGCCCCAAAACTGAACTCTTTGATCAGCTCTCACTGGCTTGTGGTGTCTGGCCCTGGGGCCCAGGCCCCCTTCTGCAAATAGAGGGGCACTGGGGAGGCCAGGGAGTGGCCACTGGGGAGTCCTGACCCTCACGGTCAGCAGGAGGTAGAAAAGCCAGGGGCAGGTGGGGGTGAGGCTGGATGAGGTTGGAGGGGAGAGGAGACCCTTGGAGGGGACCCACTAGCCCAGACAGGTGAGAGGTAGCTGCTCCCTTTTCTCCAAACTATCGAGTGGTACCTGCTGAGTAGCAACCGTTACCCGGCTCTTTCTTGCCCAGAGCCTGACGTGTGTCAAGTCCTGGCTTCCAGCAGCTAAGATGGGGTGCAACGGGCACAGTGACACAAGTGGGGAGGGCCTGCTATGAGGGTCCCCACTGCAGGTAGGGGGAGAAAGGACAGATGGCTATACAGCATCCAGAGGGTCTACACAGAGTGCGAGTGATAGCTAGCGGTGGGTTTCAGCTGACAGAAGTCCTGAAACCTACATTGGGGATGGCCGGAGGAGATAGGAAGCAGGCAGGCTCTGCGGACCCCAAGAGCCAGAGGATGCCCACCAGGGGGTGGGGGAAGCTGCCCCTGCCTGTGGTGGTCAGGGGAGAAAGCTCTGGCTCTGAGAGGTGGGTACCAGGGTGCTGGGTCCCCTGCCCCATTCCCACAGACACTCCCCTGCAGAAGCCTTCAGCCCCACAAGACACCAGAGACCCGAGACCAGGCTGCATCCCAGGCAGAGAAACCTCTCTCCGTACCACTCACCCATCGATGACACCTGTTGTCTTCATGATCCTCTCCGCCTCCTCACGCAACGATTGCCCAGCACATGCGGCCATCAGGGCCCAGAGCCACCAGCTGGTCCACATGACAAGGTCGGTTCTGCTCGACTCCTGACCGGTATGGCAGAGGATGTGGGGAGAGAGGAGCTACTCTGCTGAGAGGGAGGAAGGAGGCCTTTGGTCCAGGCTGTTGCCCCTGGGTCCCTGTTTACAGCCCTCATGTTAACGAGTAACCAGCATGCCCTTCCCCGGGTGGGCAGGTTAGGTGGCTGCCACCCGAGGGTTGGGCATCCCTGTCAGCCTAGGTAGGGCATAGCTGAGAGGGTCCGGGGAGAGCACAGCGGCGGCCTGGAGCACAAGCAGCACGGACAGATATGAGAAATGTCGGCACATCTTTGATGCATTCTGGCCTGGCTCGCTGGCCTCGGCTCTGGATCTTTGGGGCTGAGGTGGCCTGGTGCTCCAAGAAGGCAGTCATCGCCCTGTGCAGCCACCAGGAGCTGTGTTTCCTAAGAAGGTGCCTGGGCCTCTGGGCCTCAGGGTCCCTGCAGCTCTGGTCCTTGCTGTCCTTCCTAGGAGGACCTAAGTGGGTCAGTGTCATACCTTCCTCCGATCCCTCCACCCCATGCTGGGACCTGTGCTGAAGGGACTGCACGCTCCAGAACCCACACATCATCCTCCCCAGAGCAGTGTCTGCCACACGGGCTGCCCATTTTGTCTTCCCGGTGCCAACCACAGTACCTCCCACACTCAGGCCCAGGCTTTGAAGTTCTGAGTGTTTTTTTTTTTTCTTTTTCTTTTTCATACCAGAGATCAAACTCACAACCTCGCACTTGCTAGGTGGACGCTTATACCACTGAGCTAAATCCTCGGCCCTGAGGTTTTGAGGCTTGATTGTGGGCAGGGGCTGCTTTCCTTCATCAGCATAAGCCTGCAGCATCCTCTCTGTTTATTTCTACTTTTTGTTCTTGTCCTTTTGGTCTCCAAGTTCTTAAAGGTTTTGTTTGTTTCTCTTTTGTTTTTTAAGAGCACACAGTTGCCAGCCTCATCAGACAGCCTCTTCTGGGAACTGGGATGATTCAAGCCGCAACCTAGTTAGGCAGCGTGGCTGGGTCTGCCTCTGTATTGGTTTTGCTCTGTTCTTCAAGTTATTTTCTCCCCAAACTCCCAGGTGGGAGTTCTTTTTTGTGTCACTACTCTGCATTGCCCTCCTATTTATCAGTTGCATTTAACCCTGTATTTCCTCTCGACATACGGAATCCTCAACTTCTGCTAAGACAGATGCTGCATTCCTATAATCCCAGCTACTCAGGAAGCTGAGACAGGAGGATGGCAAGCTCAGGCAAGTTCAAGGATGATTTAGTGAAACCTTGCTTCAAAACAAAATTTTTTAAATTCCTGACTTTCACTTATTTAAGTGTAACAATACGTTTCTCTGGATCCATTGTTGCTCGTATACTTAGCTTTCTCTAGTCCCTGTCTCATGAGTCCACAGTGCCTTCTTGGGAAATGTTTCCAGAGAAGCTGCATCGTGTGACAAGGCCCTGTGGGCCCTGTGTCTGGGATTCCTCACCTTCCCAATGGGCCAAGCTGTCTTTTAGACTTTGAGCTTTCTTCAGTGTGCAAATTCAGTTTCAAGTTGTATAATTTTTAAAAAATTTTTCTGCTCATTCTTGAGTAGTAGTTTATTAGTTTGAAAGCCCACATCCCCTGAAGCCCCACCCCAGAGCGCACACTTGCTCATCCCACCACCTGTCATGGCCCATGGAGTCTTATCACTTTTCTGTGGTGTTTGGAGTGGAACCCAGGGCCTTGCACAGGTGAGCATCTATCAGAGGACCTGGCCCCAAGTGCAGTATTTTAAACACTCAGTTCATGCCAAAAAAGCCATGCTTCTAGGAATACAGTGGCACAGCGTCTGCCTAGCAAGCATGACTTCGATCCCTAGTACCAAAAAAAAAAAAAAAAAAAAAAAATTCCATACTGAATAAAAAAAATACAAAACTTTCAAATAAAGACAAGGTCTCTATTTGACTTTTTCTTATCCTCTACGCTGACATGGCTCTGGGCAGTGCTGGGCCCCCTGGGAACCATTCCTGTTCTGTTCTGTGACTTCGGCCACCCACACTCCTTGTGCATGCAATGGGTGGGTGGGTAGTGTTTTCCTGGGGCACAGCTGTCTTCAGCTGGACAACCAGGGGAACTATCCCAGGTAGGCCCAGGGTGAGGTGAACACAGTCCCGACCCGGGCCCACGGAGGTTTGGCACGGCAGTTGGAACCTGTGGGAGTGAGGACTGCTGTGCACAGCCCACTCCAGATACCTGGGAGCCTGGCCTGTATGGATGCCAACCGCACCTTTCCTGAGGCTTGGAAGTACTGGCTTCTCTTGCCTCAAGTGTAGTCCTGGGCAGTGAGGCTGTGTGACCCCTGGGATTTCGTGTCTACTGCTGGGCTCCGGCTTTGTGGTGGTGGTGCCATTTCTCAGGCTCAGCTGCCTGTCAGAACACTAGAGACCACCGTGGTGCCTACCTCTTCACAGACGCAGGAGTGGATCCCTGCCCTCGGGCAGCACCCAGAGGCTGAGGCTGTCTCTTTCCCGAAGGGCTCTTTCCTGAGGGCCCTTCTGTTCATCCTGGGCTTCCTGACACCGTCCCCGGCACACACACCTGATGTGGGTCACGTCCTCCAATCTCTCCATCTCCCCTCCACAGCCTGTTCCTGCCACAGTGCTCTCCCCATCTCCTGACTGGGGTTGCACTTTGCACTTTTGCCCCTTTGCAGTTGTGTTTTGCTGAAGTGGGTCCTCAAAGCACCCCTGGCTGAGCCCGTGGCGTCTGTGTGAGGAACTTTTGCCCTTGTACCAATCACCAGTTCTGCTGATGTGCAGCAATTCTGAGTCAAAAGCCATGCACCCCAAGCCCAGGCTCCAAAGCCTGCCTCATGGGCACCGTTGGTGGAACAGCACCCAGTGCGCTTTCCCTCTCCCTGGCTCCGGTCACCCCTTCATGCTTGTAGGTCACCCCTTCATGCTTGTAGTTACGCGGTTTCCCAGTACGCAGTGGATGAAGGCTTTGCCACTGTCCCACTCAGCGCGCAGGCTCCGGCTGCAGGCAGGACGCCTCTGCACATGCCCTCCGGTTGCCCCTCTGTCTCCCTATTTGCTCTTGCCCTGGTCCTGCTTGGCCTCTGTCCATACTCCTCATGCCATGCCAGGCTTTCTTGTGCATACGTGCCCCACACTGTCTTCAGTGCTTTTATCTCATATTTTATCTGGAATTCTGTGCCTGGACCCCAGGAACAGCTCTGGTTGACACCCTTTCCCTCACAGCCTGATCTGGTCATGGAAACCATGCCCGAGAGATGGGCAGGCAGAGCTGCTTTCTTTTGTTCTCTTCGGGCTACTGAGTCAGCTCCAGCCTCCCTCCCTGTCTGTCTGAGCCTTTCGCTCCATTCACAGCTTCCCTGCCAGCTGCATACCTGTCCTTCACACTGAAGCCCCTGGAAGGCTGCGCTAAGCATAGACGAAACTTTGAGGGGCTCCTGGGAAGTCACAAGCCCTCCTGTCCCTGAAGACACTTGGAGCCCAGGAACCTGGATGTTGCTCCCCTGGCTGGGGCCTGCTAGGATCCCATGTCAGCCAACCATGATGCAACCCTCAGTCCTCCAGTGCCTGGGCACCTTGCCTGTTTCTGAGCTAAGTGTTGTCTTGCAGGGACAGGAAAGACTGCACAGCCTCCCGAAAACCTCCCTGGGCTGTCCTCATCCCGTCAGAAGTGCCTCTGTTAGTGCACTGAAATCTTGGTCTGTGGATGATCCTGCACTCTGTTACTGTGGGTTCTGTTTTTGTGGGGTATTTTGTTTTATTTTGTTTTGTTGTGATACTGGGATTTGAATCCAGGGCCTCTGCATTGAGTTACATCCCTAACTTTTTGTTTAAACCTTGAGGCAGGGTTTAAGTTGCTAAATTACCTAGGCTAGATCCAAACTTGCAGTCTTCCTGCCTTAGTCTTCTGAGTGTTGGAATTATAGGTGTGTGCTACCATGCCCAGCAGGGTTCTTTTTCAATTATTGTTTCCTCTACTGGCTCTGGATGTCACCTACAGAGCAGCCTTGGTATCATCGTGTCCTTGAATGACATGGTCTCACTTCCTCCTCACCATGGGGAACTGAGGAGAGAGCCAGGGCCCAGTGGGTGGCAGTGTCCTATGGCCTGGCCTGTTGGTAGAGGGCCACTGTTGAAGAGCAGTCAAGAGGTACAAATGGGAGCACACTCTTGAAACCAGACAGCCTGGACTTAGCTCCCGGGGGCAGGTGGCCTTTTCTGCTGACAGCTGCCCTGAGCCTGCCACCCACACACCCTCATTACCCTGCAGCCCTGCTGCTGCCCTGGTAAAAGGTGGGTGTCCCTGATGCTCCACAGGCAACAGCAGGGTGTTGAGTGGCTCTGGTCCTTTGCTGTTCCTAGAGCACCCAGCCGCATGCTGGGAGGTAGCTCTGACCATGCAGTGTGGCTGATGTATCCCTAAGGATACCAGACACATCCTCCAGTGACCCCAGAACACCCAGAGTCTCTAATGAGACCCCAGTGCCTGTGAGCCCCTGATGCACTGCAGGGCTGCTAAGCTTCAGGATTCAAGCCCCGCCCAGCCCAGTCACTCCAGCTTTCTTCTCTGTAAAGTAGGGCGAACAGGCCTAGCCTTGGTATACACCTGGCCCTTGCTGCCAGAGACACCTCTGTGTCTACCTCTGTGACAGTGTCCCCTCCACCTGATCATCTGTCCAGGGAGGATTGCAAGATCGTTCCAGGGACCCAACCCACCTCCCACTGGGATGAAGCCCTGGCCATGCCTGTCTCAGGGTGTCCTCCCCTCCTGCTTCCAAGTCGCCTCCTGAGCAGGAACCCAGCCTGCCATAAACAAGAGGAAAACAGCAACCCACACTCAAACCGGAAGCAGTGCTGAGCCCCTGCTGGCAGATGCATGTTGGTGCTGGAGCTCCCTTCCACTCCATCCCGGCCCCTATAGACTCTGGGCCCCCAACCCAGGAGTCCCCACACCAGCCCTTCACCCCTCATTCCTTGTTCCTGGAGGACCTGTTGGCTTCCACACAACTCAGCACCCAGCTCTCTCCCCTCTGCAGACCCACAGCCCTTCGGATCAGCAGCCGAGACCCCTTCCCAGTACCCCCAAAGCTGCACCCTCAGCGTCACCTTGGAAGTCGGCTCTGGTCCCAGGTTCTGGGAGTCCCCCTCCTCCCTATCCAGCCTACCCTTATGTGTGGCTTCTCTACAGTCCCTCATCCTGTGAGGGCTCTCTGGCCCCCAGGATGGCAGTTTAGACCCCCACCAGTCTCCTCAAGGACCTCCCACAGGGATCCTCCACCACAGCATCCCCAGAGACCCCTAACCCCCAGCAATGGCCCCTCAACCCTTCCTTCCATCCCCTGCAACCATGACCTCCCAGGACACTGTGGAGGACACTCACAAGACACTGTGCTAGTGAGTGAGGTTTCCACTAATGGGGCTAGGGCACAGCAGCTTTGCACCTCCCAGCTGCCACCCCAGCTCAGTCCCTGCACCCCACTCACCATTCCAGGCCGATGTTAAGAAAGCTTCTGTCTTCCAGGCCGGGGAGACTGCCCCACCCCAGTTCTCCAGCTGCCAAGAACCACCTCTAAGACAGCAACCCCAGGGCCGTCACTGCGCCAGGCAGCCCAGATGGGGCTAATGCCTCACACATGTCTGTGCACGCCCTCCCACACTGTGCCCCCAGTGCCTGGAGCTGGGCTTCACAGTGAAATGACCTTGGGCAGGCAGTGGCCTTGGTATGGTATAGAAGTAGGTGTCGGTGGGGTGTCTGGATGCTGGGCAGCTCAGAGATTCCAGCCTACATGTCCCTCAATTCTTGTTGATCCTTGGTGGCCTCCCATGTGCCCTGGTCCACATGTGCTCCAGAGCCATGACGCGCTTGCCCTAGAGACTACAGCATTGACTTGGCCCAGGGACTGGGGGTCCTGGTTCCTTTATCTGAGATTCTGGAGGGCTACTCCCCCTATTTCCAGCTACCAGGAGGTCAGATGCGATCTCGGATTGGAATGTCCTCGGATTAGAAAATCTGGCAGGACTTTCAAAACCACAAGCAGCTAGTGGCCACGGGTGAGTCTCTCCCAGGAGCCTCCAGACATAGGGTTGCAGAGGAGGGGCACCCTGTCCTTGCTTCACTGAGGGAGGGGAGACTCGTTCCTGCTGGGCCTTCTCTTGTCCCGGGCTGGAGCAGCCCCTGCTATGCTCAGGGCTAGCAGTGGGACATCTTTACGTGGGGAGGGGACCCAGGTTCAAGAGCTGCCAGGAAGAGTTCAGAGGGACACAAGCAGGGGTCAAGGCCAGGCAGGGTCAAATTCACCTGGGTGCAAGATGAGGAGATGAGAGGTTCAGTTGGGGATGGGGCTATGCAGTGGGCAGGGATGGAAGACTTGGGCAGAGACTCTGTGCATGGAGAAGGGCGGACAGACCTTTCACCTGGAGGAGGTGAGGTAGAGCAGAGACTCACACTGCCATAGGGAAGGCCCCCAGGGGCCTGCTGAGAGAAATTTCAGCCCACTCTCAGCTCTGGGAAGGCCGAGGGAAGGTCTGAGTCCATGTGTCCATGTGAGAGGGCACAGGGAGAGGCATGGGCTGGTGGCCCTGCAGCTGGCAACCATCCTGCAGAGTGCTTCTCTCCAGAAAGCCCCAGGAGGGGGTGTCTAAGAAGCAGCTCACTGGGGAGGCTGGATGAGCCGCTGGAAGAGGAGAATGGCCACAGGAGATTCAGCCTGAGAGCGGTTTCGGGTGGAGTGGGCACTGGGCTCTCTGGGAATCCGGACAGGGTGTGGGTAGTGGGGTGGCAGGGCTGGTTCTGCCCATACTAGGCCTTCTGAGTCATCTTGAGATCCTTGACTTTCCTCAGGGAAGTTGAGGAACAAGGGTCAAGGAGAGAGCAACAGACCCCATAAATGTACCCGGGTCTTGGTGCCACTACAGAGGAAGCACAAGCATGGTCCCTTCAGATCTTTCAGCATGGATGGTGAACCTCCTTCAGGGACCAGCAGCCCGAGAGACTTGGCCTCCACCCCAGCATCCTCTTCCTGGAACTCAGTTCCTGGCCCCAGCTGCCCCCACTCTCTCATGCTCCCCAGGCTGCCCCCGCTTACTGCTGGCTCACTGCCAGTGTCCCCAGCCCACAGAGGTCTGACCTCGGGCTGGATCTCCATGTTCCCACCTAGCTGGCCCAGAGTGAGTTATGGGGTGCGGGACTGGAGAGCACATGCAGCCTTTCCGAGCCTGCTCGGCAATCAGCCAATGGCCCCGTGAGTGGGCAGGACTTTGGGGAACATGGAACCAGCAACTGAAGCAAGCTGGGAGGCTGGAGAAGGTGGCCGGTCCCCAGGTCGGAGTCCTCATGGCTCTGGGCCCCTCCTGACAACTGCCAGTGGCCGCAGCCTCAGAGCAGGACCAGGCTCCTGAGGAAATTCAGGTCTTCCTGCCAACCATGCCGATGCCCAGCTGACACAGTGCCTGTAGGTCATTTCCAAGGACACAATCCTCCAGCTGCCCAAGACCAGGATGTGAAGGTGGCAGTGGTGGTGATATCGCCTCCATCAGGGTGGGGCAAATTCAAGGCCGCCTTATCTTACTGGCATCTGACCTAGTCTTAGTCAGCAAATCCCTCCAGATGTAGACAGAGTTCAGGGGAGGACCTTGGGACCTGGACCATGGGACAGAGACAACACCCAGGTGGTCCAGGCTGGAGGGAGCTGCATGTGAAAGATGCTGGGAGCCTCCGTGGTCAGAGTCTTATCTGAGACACAACACAGCGCCCTGGAGGTAGGGCAGGGATTTGGAATGACAAGCGTAGGTCTCTGAGGCTTGGTCAGGAAACAGGGATCTCTGGTCATGAGGTCTGTGACTTCTGCCCCCTAGTGGCCACATTGTAACAACACACTAGTGGCTGGGCAGGGCCTCGCAGGATGGGGCCAGGGTGGCTCCCAGGTCTGAGTCCTGCATTGTTTCCCCACCCTGTAACCCGAGGCATGGTGGTACCAGTGGACCAAGGGATTCATGAGATCCAGAGGGGCAGAGTTAGGGTCCTAGGTCTCACACGAGGCCCAGAGTGGCTTCAGATGGTGCTGCATTTCCTGGGGGAGAGCAGGTCAAGCATCTGTGTGGTACGGGGTACCTGCCCGGACCTCATCAAGCAGCATCTGGGCTCCCGAGGAAGAGTCTCTGCAGGATCCTGAGAGCAGCCCCACAGCACATGGATGGCACGGGCCAAGGGGCTGCACACTACATGGGCAGCTCTTGGTGTGTGGTGAGAACTTGACCCATCCTTCAGTCGGGGCTGTGCCCTCTCAGTGGCCTGGACAGGAATTAGAGTGGGACAGGAACAGAGGAAGATAGGTTTCTTACAGAAACACCACTGAAACATTACTTGATTTTGGATTAAGCCTAGACAAGATTCTCGGGGGACACAATAGAGCTGAGCTGGAAAAGGGTCCTTGGTAGCTGAGTTAGTGAAGTTCCACCCCAGGGGATGCAGCTCCCAGCACTGCAGCCCCAGCCTGTAGGGTCAACACGGCCCTGGTCATTGGCCAAGACAGGCAGATGCCCTTGCACTGGACACAAGGACGTCCTCCCTGCCCAAAGGGAAGCCGGCCCCTGTGCAGAGGTGCGTCCCTGCCACACCGCAGGGTTTCCCTGGTCTCTTCCCTCCCTCTCCTCCTGCAGCCACTCCCAGGCTGACCTGCACTCTGAGCATGGCTCTGCCATTCTCTGAGAACAATAAATGGCCTCTGGTGACTCCTCTCCTGCACCTGTCCCCAACTCCTGGCTGCTGCTTCACCCAGGGACATCTGCCCTCCTCCAACAACGGCTCCCTGAGTACTGTGCCCTCTAATGCCCGTCAGCCCGGCCCACAGCCCACTCATCCTGGAGGAGGTACAGGCCTGGCTGCAGCAACCCTCCCAGCCCCCAGAGCCTAAGGATCTGGCCCCACCCTGCCACCTTCTCCTCCTCCCAGGCCTCTGCCAGGATCTCGAGTGTAGGCAGGGGAGGAGATGGGAGGGCAGGCTGGGGAGGAGTGAGGGGTGAGGTGGAGATAATGTGGCTGTGCCAGCCGTGGCTACCTGGTGACTCAATGCTGTAAATGTCAGACCTTAGACTGCTGAAATCAGGGCATGAAGTCTTCCTTGTTCTTTTTATTGTACATTTTATTTATTTATCGATATAGGGTCTTGTAGTTCAGGCAGACCTTGAACTCACTCTTTAGCCCAGGGTGACCTTGAATTTGAGGTGATCCTTCTGCATCAGCCTCGGGTGCTATAGCATGTGTACTGAAAAGTACTAAGACACATGTGCAAATCCACACAGATAGGTGTACACAGATGTTCACACAGTGTGATACATTGTTGCCCAGAAGTGGAAATGGGCTGGGGCATCACCCCGGTTCCAGCCCCAGCACTGGGCAACGAAGAAGACTGGAAACAACCAAGGTACACAGAAGCTGATCGGAAACCAAATCGTGGTCCATGCGCCCTGCTGCTGCAGTCACATGCAAGGCCCGTTCCCCTGCCCCACTCGCCACCCACCTGTGCTGTGGATGTGGGGCTTTCCTGGTCACTGGTGACCACGAGGCATGGCCCACAGCACTGCCCTGTTCTCTCCTACCTGCTGCTGCTGCTGCTCTCAGGAGCATGTGCAGGAAGGGTGCTTGCTGGGCGGGGTACACTTCCTGCCTGCTGACCGCTGCCCTTTCCTTGTCTCCTCCCATGGTGGAGAGCAAGTCTTGCTGTCCTCTGGGGAACTCTAACCTGGTGACCTCCCCAAGACTCCAACTCTGACAGCCACCGCACTGGGATCAGGATTTCTACACAGGACTCTGGGGTGGGGACAGTCAGTCCAGGAATTCCATCTCAGTGCTGCTGTCACGGTGACAACAGAGGAACACTGATGTGCGTGACTGGTCACCAAGTGGCAGTTGCTAGTGTGACAGCAGGGACAGATGTCACGCACAACAGAAGTGAGAGAAGCCAGGCATCACAAGGTACATGGACTAGGCTATATGCTAGGGCACTTGAGTGATGGTCCTGACAAGTCCTGCAAAACATCACGAGCTAGGAACTGAGTCAGGAGAAACACAGGCTTCCGGGAGGATGCATCCATTTCCTGTCTCAGTCACCCAGGTGCAATCTTGTTTTTTGTGTGTTTGGTATCATGATGTCACGCTCACCAAGCAGATGCTTATACCACTGAGCTAAATCCCTGGCTCCCCCAGGTGTGCTCTTGAAAAGTAAGGACAATCAGAAATAAATAAATAAAACAAACCTAGACAATCAGGCTGAGTCTTTGCAGAACTTGGCTCTTGTCCCTTGGGTCTGAAGGCCTTGGGCTGATTTGTCTCAGGAAATTGGAAAGTCGGGGTTGGAGTTGGGTCGGCTGAGGACAGGCAGCAGACAGAGAAGGCCCGAAGGCCATGCCTTTCCCCAGGCAGCCAGCTCAGGGCAGCCCCACAGGTGTCTCCTGGAAGAGGGGTATCAGGGCCAGCAGGTAAAGGGAAGTGCTCAGGTCAGACACCAGCAGGAGACACGGGCACCTGCTGCCCTGAGCTCTCTCAGGAGAACAAAACCAGGAACCGAGAGGGAACCAGGGCTCATGCAGCATGGAGTAGAAGCACACAGCTTCGAAACGCAGGCGACGCAAGCATGGGACCTCGTGTGCTTCAGAGTTGGTCACACTCTGCGTCTGCACCTGTTTGTGGGCAGCTCAGTACCAGCTCACGGCCCTTTATTTGCAGAACCAACGGCTGATCCGACCTTGCGTGCAGGGCTGTAGCTCCCTTCTGGTTCCAGCAGAAGTCTAGGAAGAAGCCTACTAGAGTCACTGTTTCCTGTGGGCCTGGCCTCCATCCTGCATGGACCTGAACGAGGTTCCAGAGGGAGCAGCAGCCACTGTGGGCTCCGCTCTCGGGCCCTGCACTGGCTTTGAGGAGTCAGAGCTTGCACTGCTGGTCTCCTGTGGCTCACAGACGCGGCCACCTCCAGTCTGCCTCACTCTGTGGCCCCAAGTCCCCACCACTGCTGCCTTCAAGCAAGGTGACCCCCTCTCCTGCCCCTGTCCTAATGCTTGCTTCCCTGCCCCCACCAGGGGAGGTTTGCAACATGAGGCTCTGATCCTCCTTTTGCCCAGAGGGGACTCAGGCCAGCAGAGAGGCACCTGGGTCAGCTCTGGCATCTGCACTTGTTTAATGGCAAAAGTGGTTTAAGAGGGAGAGAAATCTCGGAAAGCAGGCGTTCCCAGTTCCCCGGGTGGGAGAATTTGCAAGGTGAATGTGCTGCCACTCTGCCCTCAGAAGGGCAAAAACTACACTGAGGCCAGGTACCGTACCCTCCCTCTGCATCCCATCCTTGCCCTGAAACTTCCCCCTCCTCTCAAGCTCAGCTGTCTGTCTGTTTGGCCATGCATCCATTTGTCGGCTCTACATCTGTGATGCCCCTGTCCTGGTGGAATCAGTACCCCTCCTCAGCTGCCTCTGGGCCCCTCACCTGGGAGGACCCTCCCAGGCCGGCCCTGGTCTCCACAGGACCTGCAGTCAGGGCCCTGAGAGCACCAGAGCCTCCTCTCCACCTCCTGTGTACCTGTAAGGGTCCCAGCCACTTCCAGGCAGCCACCCTGCTGTCCACGCATTCTGAAGCAGCCTCAGCCCCGTGGCTGGGCCCTCCCGAACCCAGAGTCTGGAGACCACTGAGGCTGGACATCATAGTCCCTCCCTCTGCTCACCCCCTGCTGAGCCCTGACTCGCCGTCTGTGGCCACAACCCCACTCAGACCTCTGTGAGCTGCTGCAAACCCCAAGCCTGCCCCCTTCCTGCCCCAGTCGTGCTGCCCTTCTTTGTGCCCTCGTCCCTCACCTCTGCAGTCAGCTCTCAAGGCAGGATCTGTACCACTCTTGTCCAACGCCGTGTCCATAGCACCTATGCAGGGTGGAGGGGGACAGCATCACAGACATGGACATCTGTCCTCATCCAGGAGGTCCTCCCAGGTGGCTCAGCTGGGAACACGATCTCCACTCCGTTTTTTGTTTTTTGTTTTTTTTTGTACCAGGGATCGAACTCATGACTGCCTGCTTGCAAGGCAGGCGCTTATGCCGCTGAGCTAAATCCCCAGCCCCCCCCCACTCCATTTCTAAGGCAGTACTGGTCCCAGGGTCGCCTGCACTGCCCACCACAGCACCGTCCTTTGTCAGGGCCTCAGGCTCCTGTGTCCTCCTGCTGGCTGGGATGTGGCAGGGACACAGCAGTGGTGTATGCCACGCTGTAGCCGTGAGCAGGCAGCATGTGGCTCCTCGGGCACTGGAGTCTCCGCACTGACTGGAAGGCAGGAGTGAATACCCCAGTTGCCAGTCAGGTCTGCCAAGGGCCTTACCACTGCTCCTGGCCCAGCTGGCCCAGGTGCCCTCGGCTGTGGCCCAGCATGCAAGTTGCCTGTTTGCGGCATCATGGCTTTAACATCAAAGCCAAGATCAAGGCCATGAATTGTTCTCCTCTGATTTCCTCTAGGAAAAGTGCCCAGCTCCATCTTCTGCATCTGGATGTCCACAAACCGAGGTCTACAAGCAGTCATCCTCCCTGGGGCATGCTCTTCGGAGTTTGTGGAAGTCAGTGAGACAACCTGGTCTCCTTGCATCTGACCCGATTGTTTATGTAGGCACAGCAGGGTGATAACAGTCTTGTAGAAGGGTTTCTGGACACACTCTTGGACGGGGCTTTGAAGGCACTGAGGACCAGGGAGCTGTGCCAGGAGTTCCTCACTGGACTTTGCTTCAGTAACTGCAGGTTTCCCTGAGGTCCCCAGAAACGTTCTGGACCGGAAAGAAGAGAAGGCAGCCTGCATCCCTCTGTGGCAGGAGCTGGGGGCAGGGCCAACCCTTCTGGGAAAGAGTTGGCAGCACGTGCTCTGTGAGGTTGGCATTACTTCCTGCTCACCATGCGGTCAGGTCTGACTGTACGCTCACTTTGTCATCAGGCTGGCCTGATCTTGAATTCCTGGGCTCCAGCAATCCTGCTGCCTTAACCCCCTGAATGGCATGTGCCAGTATGCGAGGCTGTGCCTCACTTTTAAATGACATTGTCATCAAAACCGAGGAGGACAGTTGCTTATTGAAACTGCAAATAACTGTACTGCCACGGAGAAAAGAGCTTTAAGAGCTTTTGATAACAGTTTTCAATTTCAAGGTGTACCAGGCAAGGGCAAAAATAAATATCTGGTTAACAAAAGGATAATTTGCAAGATATTTACAAATCATCGATAGCTTCAGAAGAAAGGGGAAGAGTTTTTTATGTGCAGAAAATAGAACATCAGAGAGCCAATTTTGATAACCTCATGCAAGTCGTGACTGCACTTTACCAGTCCGCCCAGCCAGAGAGTCGGTTTTGTGCTGCTCTCTGCAGCAGCCTCTCCCGAACCCACCGGCCTTCCTAATTGGGCTTGGGAGTCCGGACTCAGTCTGGAAGTGTGATCTCACAGTCGCTTAAGCCAGACTGTCAGATGCCCTGCTGGGGCTTCCTGGAGCATCCTTTCTGTCGAAGTCTGGACTGTAGCTGATGAGAGCAATTTAGAAGCCAGGTGCAGTGGCACGGGATTGAGGGGGTCATTCCAGCTACAAGGGAGGCTAAAGCCAGAAGCTTTCTTGAGGCCAAGAGTTCAAGAGCATCCTTGGTAGCACAGTGAGATCACGTCTAAAGAAAAAGAGCATTGGATGAAAATTACTAAAACTAGTTATGTGGCCATGGTTAGGAATCTAATGAGAGTTTACTATAAAAATATAATTGAAGCTAGGTATGGTGCCACATGCCTGTGATCCCAGCACTCTAGAAGGCTGAGCAGAATTGTGTGTTTGTTGCCTGGTCAATTTCTTGCTATTTGCTGTATGTTGTTTACCTGATCACTGAGACTCTGTGTCAAAATAAAAAGATAGGGGCTGTGGATTTAGCTCAGTGGCATAAGCGCCTGCCTTGCAAGCAGGCAGTCGTGAGTTCAATCCCTGGTACTGATAAAAAGGAAAAAGACAATAATAATAATAATAAATAAAAAGATAACAGATTAAAAGAGAGAGAGAGAGAGCCAGGTATGGTGGTATATACCTGTAATCTCAGCACTCAGGAGGCTGAGGCAGGAGGATCATTGCTGCTTTAAGATCCAACTGAGTTCAAGGCTAGCCTGAATGGCTTCATGGCATTATCTGCCTAGGTCCAATCCCTGGTACTACAAAATCAATACAAAGTAAGAAAGTCAAGAAAAGTTCTGTGTTGGGAGCCGCAGCCCCGAGCCCGGTCGCCTCACTTGGCGGACGTGAGGCCTGTAGTAAAGAGTAAAGCCTGAGGTAGATTACCCCTCCCATCGAGCACGTTAGTTTCCTGCTTACCGCGTAAGCAACCCGCTCAACAATATAGTCTGCCTGGCAACTGATGATGTTAGCCAATCAGCTTGCCTTGCTTACTTTAACATGATTGGACACTGTATCCGTATATATACTGGTGCCACCCCTGGGGGGGAAGAAGAAGCCCGGAAGTAGAAGCCCAGAAGGAGCCGCGGGGAGCGGACCAAAGGAGGCTTCGGCTGGGAGCGATCCCAGGGCAGGCTGTACGGAGAAGGAAAATAAAAGAAAAGGTTGTCCACTGCCAGACTTTGTCGTGTGTCCTTCCTGCCGGCCGGGAGCGACATCGACATTTGAAGGCCCGCACGGGGACTGATCACCCCCGAGACGTGACAGCGGACAACGCTCCAGTACAGAGCTGTGAGACAGGTGAGTTGGGGATAAGCCTGGGCTCTGGGTGGCGCGCACCTACAGGGCTTTTAGACTCCCCTCAGGCTCACACGTAAGTGGCGGATTCCTTGGGCCTCACGCGGTGAGTAACATATTAAAAGATGGGAAACATGCTAGGTAGCAACACTAAGAGCGAGGGTGGTTGTGGAGAAAGCTCTCAAGAGCTTACAAAAGTACGCAGGGTATTTGAGCAGGCCCAGTCGGGGAGCTCCCGAGAGGGGCCCGTCAAGGGGAACAAAGATGCTAAGGAGAAGGACGGGGCTCTAGCCTCGGAGTCGTCTGACTCGGAGTACGAGGGAAAGTTGAATGGCAAGGAGGCCAAAGAGACCAGCTGTCAGGAGCCTAAGTCGCTCAATAAGGAGTCGCAGGGTTCTTTCCCAGCGTTGCGCCGTGAATTGCGCTCCGCTCAACTTGGTCTGCGGAGGAGTAGAGAGCTCCTGAGCGCTCCCCGGCGCGAGAGGGAGGCGAAGCCTTCCGCCCCACCTTGGGGGCTGTTCCCGGAGGCGATCCCTCGCCGCGAGGCGGCCGCCCGGGAGCTCCCTTCCCCTTCGCCAGAACAGGAAGTGATGCACGGGCCCCCATTTTCCGCCCAATCATGGCCGCCGTCTTATGCTCCGCCGCCGGCGGGTCGGTATTTTTACAGGCGGCTTTGGCAGGGGGGACGTTTGTCTCATGAGGTACATCCACCACCTGGGATAGATAGTGGCCCCTACGGGATATTTCCTGTACAAGTAGCTATGGGCCAGGGACGTAATGCATGGGAGCCTTTTGAGATAAAGCAGATTAGAGAACTTAAAAATGCAGTTACAACCTTTGGGCCGACTGCGCCTTACACCATTGCCATGCTGGAGAACCTGTCTTCTGGGCCCCTCACCCCCGCGGACTGGATTCAGCTGGCAAAGGCGTGTCTGCCCTCGGGTAGTTACCTGGATTGGCGAGCCTGGTACGCAGAGTTCTCTGCAGAGCAGGCTGAGAGAAACGCCAGTCGGGGAAACCGGGGGTGGAACAAGGAAATGCTTATGGGAGAAGGTCGGCACGCTGATGATCAGACTCAGTTCCCCGGCGCTGTCTATGAACAAATCAACGCCATAGGGCTCCGCGCCTGGAAGCAGGTAAGTGGTGCCGGAACAGCCTCCTTGTGTCTTTCAAAAATAATTCAGGGTACCACAGAGCCATTTGTTGACTTTGTGGCCCGAATGCAAGATGCTGCCGATAAGATATTTTCTGATCCGGGAGTGGCTCGACCGCTGGTAAGGCAGCTGATTTTTGAGCAATGTACAAAGGAGTGCAAGGCAGCGATAGCTCCTCATAAGAACAAGGACCTCAACGCCTGGATTAGGATATGTAGAGAGATAGGGGGGCCGCTCTCCAACTCGGGAGTGGCTGCTCTCCTGGCCGCGGCTGTACAGCAGAGGGGACCTCGCGGGTTAGAAGGGGAATGTAAGGCTAAAGGGTGTTTTGCCTGCGGGGAGCCAGGACACATTAAACGTCATTGCCCAAACAATGCAGATGCTAGGCCTCGCCCTAGGAATGAAGAACCATATGTTTGTGGGCGATGCAAGAGGGGATCACACAAAGCTGAGGAGTGTACGTCGGTCTTTGATGCTCAGGGCAACCGTATTTGTGGACGAGATGCTAGAGGGCCAAAAAACGGCCAGAGGGGGCCCCCTTCACAGGCGGGCCCCCGCCCCAGAGACAGGACAGCTCAGGATGGCAGCCTTCAACAAGGGCCACCCCTGGGTCAGCAGGTGTGGACCTCAGTGTCGCCTCCAAACTTATATTAGTGCCTGATATGGGTGTCCAAGTGGTTGAAACCACCTTTAAGGGACCGTTACCCGAAAATTCCGTGGGTCTGGTGATCGGGAGATCCTCCACGGCCCTTCGGGGTCTCATAGTAGTCCCGGGGGTCATAGACTCAGACTACACAGGACACATTAAAATTATGGTTCAATCTCTTGTGGGTACTATGGTAATCAATAAAGGAGACAAGATAGCGCAGCTCTTGCTGCTCCCCAGTCTCCACAAGAGATTCCCCTCAAAGCAGAAAATTAGAGAAAGTCAAGGTTTCGGTTCCTCAGGGGAAGTCTTCGAGGGACTCCATATAATACTTGATAAAAGGCCCATGCTCTCACTTAAGGTCAATGGCAAGAATATAACAGGGCTCCTAGACACAGGAGCTGACCGTTCCATTATCTCTAGAAAGGATTGGCCCTCCAACTGGCCCACCAACACTGCAGATAACACGCTGCAGGGCCTGGGGATGGTGTCAGCTCCTCAGGTTAGTGCTTCAACCCTGTTCTGGTGCGATGAGGAGGGTCATCAGGGCCATTTCCAACCATTTGTGTTGCAGTTGCCAGTGTCTCTATGGGGAAGGGACATCCTCACTCAGATGGATGTCACGCTTACGTCAAACTGCTCCCCCCAGGCTAAGGATATACTCAGGAACCAGGGATATACCCCCGGCAAAGGCTTGGGCAATGCCCTACAGGGTCGGACATCCCCAATACCAGTAGAGAACAAAAAAGGTAGGCAAGGGCTGGGTTTTTCTTAGGGGCCGCTGAAGAAGCTCTCCTACCCACTTCGATCAAAATCACCTGGAGGTCAAATGATCCGGTTTGGGTACCTCAGTGGCCCCTGCCTAAGGAGAAGCTATTAGCCTTGTCAGAAATAGTCAGTACACAACTTAGATTAGGACACATTAAGCCGTCAACCTCCCCATGGAACACCCCCATTTTTATAATTAAGAAAAAGTCTGGCAAATGGAGGCTGCTCCATGATCTAAGGGCGGTCAACGCGCAGATGCAGTCCCTGGGGGCGGTCCAGAGGGGGCTGCCAGCTCTCTCAGCCATCCCTCAGTCCTGGCCAGTTTATGTTATAGATCTTAGAGACTGTTTCTTCTCAATCCCCCTGCATCCAGAGGACACTCATAGGTTCGCCTTTACTTTACCCACCATTAACCAAGAAAGCCCTGATCTCAGATACGAGTGGATAACGCTGCCCCAAGGTATGGCCAACAGTCCCACTATGTGTCAGATTTACCTTGATTCCCTACTGGCCCCCCTACGGAAATCCTTTCCCAAGATAAGATGTGTGCATTACATGGACGACCTTTTGCTCAGCGGCAGGGACCCAGACATGCTAAATAATATGCTCGGCCAGTTGGTCGAGGCCCTGAGACAAGCTAATCTGCATGTTGCCCCCGACAAGATTCAGGGAGGAGAAATGGTGACCTACTTAGGCGCAAAAATCTCCCCTATGCTAGTCTCTCCACAGAAGGTCACCATTAGGACGGATGGCGTTAGGACCCTAAATGACATGCAAAAGCTATTGGGAGACATTAATTGGATTAGGCCATATTTACATATACCAAATTCAGATCTCAAACCCCTGTTCGACCTTCTAAAGGGAGACCCAGATATAGCCTCCCACAGGAGGCTCACTCCTGAGGCAAGAGCTGCCTTACAGAGAGTGGAAAAAGCCTTAGGTGGGGCTACCTTACACAGAATTGAACCAGGGCGACCCTTTGATGTCTGTTTGCTACAGACTAGTCTACAGCCCACAGCGGTGATTTGGCAGAAAGGACCATTACTGTGGATACACCCTAAGGTCTCACCTGCAAAAGTCATAGAGCATTACCCGGAGGCAGTCGCTTCATTGGCCCTTGAAGCGCATGATAGAGCTGTCCAACATTTTGGCTCAGGACCACAAGCCATCCGAGTACCCTATACCGCCAGCCAGATCAAGACCCTGGCTGCCTGCATAGATACATGGGCCATTCTGAGATGTGTTTTCCATGGGGATATAAACAATCAATACCCTAAAGACCCTATCTTGTCATTTGTCACTCAGCACCCTATAATTTTTCCAAAGGTTACTGCCTCTGAGCCATTAGTTCCAGCAACTACAATATACACAGATGGCTCCAAGACGGGGATAGGCGCCTATGTGATCCTAGGCAAGCCCCCGGTTACCATACAATTTGAACCTGATCAGCCTCAGGTGGTGGAACTGCAGATCGTTAAAATGATTCTTAAACGGTTCTCAGAAGCCATTAATATTGTCTCCGATTCTAGGTATGTGGTCAATGCTATGCAAGTGCTTGAGACTGCCGGTTTAATTAGATCCACTTCCACAGTGGCTGGGCTGTTCCTGTCTATCTAGACATTGCTTCAAAACAGACACCATAAGGTCTTCACCACCCACATAAGAGCACATACATCCCTGCCGGGGCCCATGGCACAGGGGAATGCGGCTGCTGATACTGCCACTCGCCCGTTATGGATTTTTACCTTACTAACACCAATCGAGCGAGCCCGTGCCTTCCATGATAAGTTTCATGTCAATGCCAGGACACTAGCAAACCATTTCCATGTTTCCAGAGCAGATGCACGAGATATCGGGCGACTATGTGACTCCTGTGCCACATACAAACCTGCCATACCGATGGGAGTAAACCCTCGAGGTTTGATCCCTGGTGATGTTTGGCAGATGGACATCACACATATACAGGAGTTTGGGACTCTTAAATATGTTCATGTTTCCACAGACACCTGTTCTCACGTCATATTCGCAACAGCAGAAACAGGTGAAAAAGTGTCTAATGTGATCAATCATTGCCTGGCGGCTTGGGCCGCATGGGGCAAACCAAAAATATTAAAAACTGATAATGAACCAGCCTATATAGGCAAAGCCTTCAATGAGTTCTGCAAAATGATGGAGGTCCAATTAAAACATGGTATCCCATACAATCCCCAAGGTCAAGGAATCATTGAGAGGGCTCATAGAAGCCTCAAAAAAATTTTACAAAAACAAAAAGGGGGAGTAGGCCAAGGCCTGGCCCCAAAGGCACGATTATCCATGGCACTATTCACACACAATTTTTTAAATTTAAATAATGATAATTGCTCCCCAGCCGTGGAGCACTGCAACCCTTCCCCCAACCATAAAGGGTGGGTGAAGTGGAAAGATGTCCTGACAGGACAATGGATGGGCCCGGATCCAGTGGTCAGCTGGAACCGAGGCGCGGTTTGTGTTTTCCCACAGGAATCGGGACGAGAACCACTGTGGGTACCGGAGAGACTGACACGGGCGACAAAGCCCTCGACTGAAGATCAGACCTGCCCTACCGGAGATCCATCACAGACCAACCAACAAGATGAATAGAAATAGCGGTAGCCCGAAATGGACAAGAAGATCCTCAGGCATATGCATGGCTCGCTCGCCTAGCCTACGACCGAGTCTAGGGACGGTGAGCTTCCCACACTCCTCCTCTAAAAAATTATGACATAGCTGGGTAGGAGAGTCAATGACGGGTAAGAGCGTACTCCCCTGGTGCGACTCAACCTAAGCCAGGCCCTACCCCATTCTGCACGTAAGCCGCTGGACTGTTAGATGCTGCCCAGGTCTAAATTTCTCTCCGAGGGGATTTCTTTACGGAGAGAAAATGAGTGCAAGCTTGTGTGCATCCAGGTTCCGTCCAGTTTGTGCCTGGCCCTAGAAAAAGGATGAGGGCCTCAGGGCCTTGGCGGACCATGGGACGGCCGACCAGGGTCTAAGCCAAGGACCTACGGTGGGCCTACACATAGGGCATAAGCCTCTGCACCCAGTCCAGGAAGGGCTACGATGCGCACATTCATAAAAAAATAATAAAAAAGGGGGAGATGTTGGGAGCCGCAGCCCCGAGCCCGGTCGCCTCACTTGGCGGACGTGAGGCCTGTAGTAAAGAGTAAAGCCTGAGGTAGATTACCCCTCCCATCGAGCACGTTAGTTTCCTGCTTACCGCGTAAGCAACCCGCTCAACAATATAGTCTGCCTGGCAACTGATGATGTTAGCCAATCAGCTTGCCTTGCTTACTTTAACATGATTGGACACTGTATCCGTATATATACTGGTGCCACCCCTGGGGGGGGAGAAGAAGCCCGGAAGTAGAAGCTCAGAAGGAGCCGCGGGGAGCGGACCAAAGGAGGCTTCGGCTGGGAGCGATCCCAGGGCAGGCTGTACGGAGAAGGAAAATAAAAGAAAAGGTTGTCCACTGCCAGACTTTGTCGTGTGTCCTTCCTGCCGGCCGGGAGCGACATCGACAGTTCTGGAATTAGTACTGATACCACGGGACCATCATGCATTTCCAGGACCTTAGCAGCATTGTGGACCACAGACCTCTCACCGCTGCAGGAACCAGCAGCTCAGGGAGGCCAAATCTTTCCACTTTGGCAGATCAAATAGTCATGCTTGTCCGACCCTGATGAAAAACACTAACTGAACAAAGGATAAAGGTGAAGGACCTCGTCAGTGGCTGCCGTGACAGGAGAAACTGCCAGGGCACTGTGGGGCAGGTCGCTGCCCAGGCTGGCCCTGGTCACTGACCACAGGGCCCTGCTGTGGCCCCCCTCTACCCTGAGAGCCCTGCCCCCCCCCCATGCCCTCTGCTCACCCGCCAAGTTCTCCTGACCAGCTCTCTTTCCCGAGCTGGGATCTCCCGTGGTGTCCGGGTGGAGCCCAGGCCCTGGCCCTGAGCCCCATCCCAGCCTTTTGTTGTTTTTTACTTTGAGTCTGGTCCTGCTGGTTCACTGAGCTGCCCAGGCTGGGCTCAGAATTCCAGTCCTCCTGCCTCTGCCTCTGGGAGTGCAGAGGGGAGCAACACGCCTGGCTCCCTGAAATTTAATCTCCCATAAACCTAGGTACTTTGTAACAGCTTTCTTGTAGCCGGGTAAGAGCACAAATCCTTTGAGGATTTCCAGGGACAGCTGAGAAGCTTCAAGGACAGTTTAAGGTCAGGCCAAGAAACTTATTTATTAATTATTTACTTACTACTCATTAGGGTTTTTTAGAGAGGGTCTCACCTTGAAGTTCTCACATTCACCTCTTGTCTCAGCCTCCCCAGTGTTGCAAGAAATCTACTTATGGAATTTGTCAAGGATGTCAGAAAGTTTAAATATTCAAAAAGGATCAGAGGTCATCATGAAATAATATTTACATGTTAGCCAAAATAACAACAGGAACTTTCAAAAGTTAATCCAAGAGGTGACACAAAGGTAATGGGCCAGTTACCAGAGAGACAAAACAGCACAGAGACCACAGAAAGGGAAGCCTGAGGGCTGGGCGTGGTGGCCTCACCTGTAATCCCAGCACTCGGGAGGCTGAGGCAGGAAGAGCGTCCTGGGTTTGAGGCCAGTCCGGTTATATACTGAGTTCAAGACCAGCCTGAACTGCACAGTGACATTTTGTCTGAAGAAGGAGGAGGAAGAGGAGGAGGAGGAGGAGGAAGAAGAAAGAAGAAGAAGAAGGTAAAGGAAAGAAAAAAGGAAACCTGGAGCCCAGCTCAGAATCAGTGTGTCCATCCAGAAGTCTGAGGAGTCACAGAATAATCAGGGAGGGGAAGCTGAAGCAAGAGGGTTTCAAATTCAAAGCCCACTGGGCAAAATTCTTACAGAGCTGGGGTGCAGCTCAGTGGGACACCACAGGCCGGCATAGGCCTCTGCATGCTGGGGAGAAGCTAGTGAGGGGGAGGGACGTTCATGGCTTTTCTGGGAATAGGCGGGGTCTTCCCAAAACCCAACCACGTCCCTCCCTTAGTCTGCTGTTTTGGTGTCCCTAAGGGCTGTGAGGCCAGGCAGCCTGGGTCACATTAACCCCGTGTTTCCCATGTGACCGTACCTGCACGTTGACAGAGGCCTGGCCTCTCTGGTCTGGTCTCCCCTGGGAAGGAAGCTCGGCTACTGTAACCCACAGGAGGAGCCGAGCTGTCCAGTGCAGTGACTCCCACCCAGTGGGGCATCTGGTTTCCCAGGACAGGAGCTCAGGCGCCCAGCACGCGGCCCTCTCCAAGCTGTTACTACAACCACATTTTGGAAACTCCATCCTGCCTGGCACTGCTCTGGCCTGGGAGAGTTGGACTTGGCTGGGGAGGGAGGCTGGGGCAGGTGTGTGAGGAGGGCACAGGGCTGTGGGCAGGGAGGAGGGCCAGGCTCACTGTGCAGTGTGGGGGTTACCACAAATATGTCACTGCGTTACCTGAGAACCCTGGCTCCCTGGCGGCAGAGGTGCAGCCAGCTTCTCTGACACAGAGCCATGGGACAGGTGACATTTCCTTATCACCATCCCCACCCCAGGTGGCCGTGCCACCCCCTTTCACCCAGCAAGTAGAGCTCAGCACTGCTCATGGACACCTGCACTCTGGTGGCCAAGGCTCAGGGCCACGCCCCCGTCCCCACAGGCCCGCTCCTGTCCCATCCTGGGATCCTGGGGTGGAGTTTCCTCAGAACTAACTGCCTGGAACTAACTGCCCAGGGTGCAGCCACATCTCCCTTTGCTGGGCTGAGCGCAGAGCAGGCAGGTGCGGGCTGAGGGTGAGTATGGGCAGCTATGGGGTGTGCAGCAGGGGTCTCTGCTGGGCACCTGGGCCTCGGCAGACAGTTACTGCAGCTGCCATCACGGCCACCGTGCCATGGGTTTCCAGGTGAGACAGGCACTCCAGCCCTGCCCACAGGGAGCTGTGACAGTAACACAGCTCCAGCAGCAGGTTGATGTCCAGAACATGATGCAGGAGCAGGGATAGCTTGGGGACCACGAGGAGGACACAGGGCCACCACGCAGCACCACTGCTCTGAGGGCAAGGGGCCCGACCTGTCTCAGCCACAGTCAAGGCTGACCAGGCTCCCTGCGATAGGCTCTAAGGGTACCCAGGATAGAGGCCAGGGGCCACCCAGGATGACCCATGTCAGCTTTAGTGACAGGACTCCAGACTCGTGGTCCAGCCAGTGAGCTCTCTCTTCTCTGTCACCAGCATGGACACTGTTGAGGTCTTCAATGGCATCCGCTTCCCAGGGTTCATACATACCCAAGAGTCTCTGCGTGCGGCATGCAGTTTCCTGTTCCAGGACAAGGACATCCTGCTGGTGACGTTCCCCAAGTCAGGTGAGAGCTGGGTACCCCACCGCTGCTCCGCCAGCCCTGGCCTGGGCTAGGAGATCCAGCCAACCCCAAGGGTGGCCCAGCTGTGTCAGACGCACACCCTTGATCTGGGCAGGGTCCTCACCCTGGACCCCTGGGGTCATGGGTGATGTTTGTGTTTGCAGGAAGGCACTGAGGGCCTGGGGGGGGGTGTTGATGAGGGTTCAGGGGCCCTGCAGACAGACAGCCTTTCTCCTGCCCCATGATGACTGTCTGAGCACAAGAGCTGTGCCTCCATAAACACTTCCTCCTCAGGGATAACCCTGTGAGGTCATCCCGGGAGGACAGGCACCTGGGGGCCTGGTCAGAATAGGCTGTGGCTGGCAGGGCAGGGGCAGGGGGAGGCTGGCACATGCAGCAGCCTGGAGACAGTTTAGCTCTGGAGGGAGCAGCCATGGAGAGCAGGCCATGCTGGGCATAGCAGCGCAGGTCAGTCATCCCAGCTATGCAGGGGATCAGGCAGGAAGGCTGCAAGCTCAAGCCTAAAGTGGGCAGCTTAGCAAGACCCGGTCTCAAAAGGATAAATAAACACTGGAATGTAGTTCAGTGTGAATGTGAAGGCCTCGGCTTCCCCCAAGACGAGAAAAAACACCGAGAGAGACACAGACAGAGGGGAGGGGAGAGGCATATTTATAATCCCTGTACTCTGGGAGGCTGAGGCAGGAGAACCACAATTTGTAGCCTAGCCTGGACAACTCAGTGACTTAGTGAGACCCTGTGTGAAAATAAAAATTTTAAAAAGGGTTGGGTGTGGAGCTTGGTGGGGGAAGGCCATGGCTGGGCCAGCGTATTGCTGTGAGTTCACTGGGCAGTGGGGCTGGGATTGCCGTCATGTCATTCCTTTAGAAATGGCTCAGGCCACTTTCTAGGTGAATAGGAGAATGGGTTTATTTGGAGCCAGCTCTATGGAGGCGGAGGAGCTGCCCGTGTCACCAGCTCCCAGGCTCGGTGTTTGGGTCCAGCCTGCCACCTTCCTCTCTCTTCCTCCCGACGGGGCTGAAGCAGGCACTGTTCTTGGAGCTGCTGGGAGTCCCGTGCCTGTGCCTGTGCCTGTCAGAGGCAGTGGAGCTCTATCCTGAGTCCCCCACCTGAGCCCCGCTGCTGGGCACATGGGACAGACACAGCCGGCTCCAGCTCCTGCTCCACAACCGGGCACCTGTGTCACATGATGACTGAGATACACTGACAGCACAGGGCCACGTGAACCTCAGCCCTCCCTGGCAGCAGCGCCTCGCTTTTGCACTTGATTCCACGGCCTCTGTAGGGGGCCCTCTGCGAGAACCCCCCTCCCTTTCATACAGTGCACCTGCACGGCACACAGCCCAGTTTACTGTGGTTTTTTTTTTTAGGGTCTAAAACCAAAGGGAAACCCCAGAAACACTTCATTAGTTGTCAGTTGCATGCCATAAATCTCATGCTGTCCCAGTCTCCCCACTGCACACAGCACATGCTGTTGCCAACCCCAAGCCTCTCGGTCTCAGGCTTGTGACAAGAAACCTTTGTTTCTCTTAGCAGCAAAGCCTGAGATCTCGATGCTGGCAGCCAGCATGAGGCACGAAGTTCTGAGCGCTTCCTTCAGGGCAAAGGTGCAAGTTCTAAATACAGTCATGTTCCAAGGTCACTAAGGTTTATGGTTACAGGGAATCTTTTTCTGTTTTATTTTGCTTTGTGAAGGTCGGGGTGAAACCCAGGACTCCCACGCACTAGACAAATGCTCTCTCAATGAGCGGAACGTCCCGCTCTTTTAAAGCTTTTGAGACAGGGCTTCTCCAAATTGCACTGGCTCAACCTGCAATCTTCCTGCCTCAGTCTCTGGAGTAACTGAGCTTGCAGGAATGTGCCACTGTGTCCATCAGGATGAATCTTTTATCCATGAAACTGTGTAGAAGAAATTTATGTTAACTTCACTGCTGCAACTCAAACTGCAATGGTCCTGGCCGCTGTGTACAGCCAGGGCTTAGGGTAGAATCCACATCTTATGCTGTGCAAAGAACAGGAGTGGAGCTCTGGGGACACAGAGCCTGGGGGAGCCCCACTAAGGGCTCCTGAGAATGGCCCGTGAAGCCACGGTCCCCGTGAGGGCAAGAGAGGCCGAGTCCCAGGACTCTTCCCTGGCACACTGTGGGGATTGCTCTGGGCCTTGGCTACTGCTGAGTCAGATGTGGCTCCACTGTGGTCTCTAATTTGTGATGACAACCCTTACCCGGTTTCCACCCAGCCTCCTCCCGCAGCCACAGGTCCAGTCCCCTGTCCTCTGGGCTGGGGCCAGCTTCCACGTGGGAGGAGCATGTCCGTCACTTTGCCGCAGTCCCACAAATACCTAATCAGTCCTCTTGGACTCACAGTGGAGGTTCCAGTCCCAGTGGGCCAGCCCATTGCTTTGCAGGGCACACACGGTAGACAAATCTGCTCACCTCACAGCCTGGAGTGAAAAGCGAGGAGGAAGAAACGAGGTCCTGTTGTCCTGAGGGCCTCACAACCCGGCCAACGGGCAATCTTCTCTTTTCTATTTGCTTTGTTTCTGTAACGTGAAACGTTGCGCCCCGGCAGCTCTGCCACTGAGCTGCATCCTCAGAGCTTTTTATATTTTTGTTTAAGACAGTCTTGTTATATTGCTCAAGCTGGCCTGGAATCTGTGTCCTCCAGCCTCAGCTTCCAGCATGGGCAAGATTACAAGCATGTGGCACCACTGCCAGCAGCCCATCTCCTAATGTGCCCTCCCCCAGCAGCACACCGGGGTTCAAGATTCAACCTGCAGTACGCGGATCCAGCTGCTGTGCATACTGACAGGGTCACCCCGATTGAATCTGAGCTTCTCTAACTGTGCCTGGGGCTGCTGACACTTGGAAACAGGGTCCCATGCGCAGGTTATACAGGAATTTGCCTGCTCTTTCCTGCCTGTGTGCGCACGGCTGCAGCGCCTACATCCCCCAGCGCATTCTGTGCAGAGTTTACTTGTGCACACTGGAATTTGATCTAATACCAGCTCTGGCCAAAGACCGTCAGTCGCTATCCATGTCCTTGACTGCATTTCTTTGCTCTATGCTGTGTCTGTGGGGCTCCAGGCTGCAGCCCTGTCCTTTCCTTGGCTGGCATCTGCATTTTCACAACTTCAGTATCTAACTCCATAAAGAGGTTTGTTGAAGCAGGAAGTGGTAGCACACAGCTGTAACCCCGGATACTCGGTAGAGGCAGGAGTATTGCAAGTCCCAGCCCAGCCTGGGCAATTTAGATCCTGGCTCAAAATACAAAAAGGCCTGAGGGTGAGGCTTTGGGGTAGGGACTTGAATTTCTTTATTCTCTTCTTATAGATGTTGTAAAGCTAACAACTGGGCCAGGACTCAGAACAGAATCAAAACAACAGCAACAAAAGGAAAGGGTGGGAGGAAGAGGCAGCGCTGTAGACGAAGCCGAAGCCGTGTCCCTAGAAATCCCGAGCAGCTGCAGGCAAAGGGGTGGCGCAGGCCAGCAGGTGGTCGGTCCCGGAAACACTGCCCCTTCACGGGACTCAGAGCCCCACACCTCACCCGCCTCTTCCCACCCAGGGACCACGTGGATGCAGCAGGTGCTGAGCCTCATCTTCTGTCAGGGCCACCTCTGGCCCATCCACCACATCCCCAACTGGCAGCGTGCGCCCTGGCTGGAGCAGAGCAACCTCGTCAAAATGCTTGGCAGCCTAGACCCCGGCCAGCCTCGCCTGCTCACCTCCCACCTGAATGCTGAGGCTCTCGGGCCTGCAGTCCTGCGCTCCAAAGCCCGGGTAAGGTGATGGGCATGAGGCATGGTGGGCGGGAACTTGCAGGCAGCAGCAGGGATGGCCAGAGCCTCTGCTTTGTCTCCAAGCCCAGATTGGTACCGGAAGGTGGGTGGGCCAGGCGAGGGCCAGCATTGCCCGCCTTGGCTTGTGGACAGCGCTGGGAGCTCGGGGAGGAGCTGGGTCAGAGGTCTCGGGTCTCCCCTCAAGGTGATATACATGGCACGGAACCCCAAGGACGTGCTCGTCTCCTTCTACCACTTCCATAAATTGGCCAACTTCCTGCCAGACCCCAACTCCTTTGAGGACTTTGTGGATGAGTTTCTTGAAGGCAAAGGTAGGTCTTGGGGGCCTCAGTGGGTCTGGGAACCCCCATTTTCTTGCCGCTGGCTGATGGGCCAGTGGATTTATCAGCTGTCACATCGATAGGACAAAATACTGGATACCCACAATTTAGAGGAAGAGCCAGGTGTGGTGCTGCAGCCCTGTTATCCCAGCACTTAGGAGGCAGAGGCAGGAGGATTGCTGTGACTTTCAGGCCAGTGCAGGCTACATACGGAGACCCTATCTCAAAAAAAAAAAAAAAAAAATAGAGAGAGAGACAAGGTTTGTTTGGCTCACAGTGTGGGGTGCTTCACTCCATGGCTGGCTCCAAGGAAGAAAGGGCCCAGCAGAGGACAGTTGCTCACCTCATGGTGGTCAGGTTGGAGAGCAAGGAGTGGGGACAGGATATACCCTTCCAGGTCCAGCCACCCATGGAGACTCCACCGAGTCCAGTACCTGGGTCCCAGTCACTGCCATCTCACCCAACACTAGAGGTCTCGGGGTGTTTTATATGTAAACCACACCCCGCAGCCTCCTGGGAGCCTGGCCAGTGCCTCCTCCCCCATCTCTCCTCCCCAGGCTTCTTCGGCTCCTGGTTTGAGCACGTGAAGGGGTGGCTGGGTCTGAAGCCGGACCTGAACATGCTCTTTGTCACATACGAGGAACTGCACCAGGTGGGTGTCTCTTCCAGCCCCCCGCTGAAGCCCTCGATCCCGCCACTAAACTTGGAGAAGGCCCGAGAAGCATCTTTGTTTCCGAATAGATTCAATCTGTCTGTTCCTCCCTCAAGTTACTACACTTGATCAACAAACAGGCTTTCCTGTTGCTGGGCCAGAGAACAGCACATGCGATGCCAAGGAACTGACAGTTCCCGGCACAGCTCCAGTTTCGGATGTGAGCACTGTAGGCTTCCGTTTGGAACAACAAGGGGAAGGAACGCTTTTTTCCTCTGAGACCGCATCTCGGTCCATTTCCCGGGCCAGCCTGGGACCCACAGTCCTCCTGCAGCCTACAGTTAGCAGGGATCACAGGAGTGTGCCCAGGGGCAGGCCTGAGGCTGGAGCCTGGGTCCTCGTGCACTCCAGGCAAGACTGACACTGAGCCCCACTCCCAGTGCATCTTATTCTTTTATTCTTTATTTTGAGGCAGCATCTCACAGAGGTGCCCAAACTGGACTCGAACTCCTGTATTTGGGAGACCCTTCCACCTTGGCCTCCCGAGTAGCTGGGATCACAGGTGTGTGCCATTGTGCTGCTTTGGGAAGTAGCTGAAAACATTAAGAAAGGAAGTGAGATGTGATGGTGCCTCCCTGTAACCCCAGCTACTCTGCAGGCTGAGACAGGTGGGTTATTCGAGTCCAGTTCAGACTCAGCCTGGCCGACACGGAGACCCTGTCTCGAATGAGGGAAAAAATCAGAAGCCTCCTGAGGCTGGGCCACGGAGGCTGCGTGGGCTGACCTGAGCACTCCAGCCCACTCCACATGGCCATGTCCACCAGCAGCGCCAGTGGTGACTGATTCAGCCTCTCAGTGGAGTCCAGATTTTTCCAGCAAATGTTAAACTCGGTTTCCACAGCTTTTGAATTTAGAAAGGACATTGTGATATGACCAAATTCTATGAAATGTGACAAGATCTTTGAATGCTGTCATGGTTTATGTCGGTGGCCCCCAAGCCTCATGCCTTTGCATTATACATTTGTGATTGGTTCATTGTCTAGTGCTTGGATTGGGGGTGTGAGTGCTACACCGGCCTAGGGATGGAGCCAGGATGTGATGTAATGGCAGGAAGAAGGTGTGTGTCTCTCTCTCTTGCCGATTTCTACCTTGCTGTTTGCAGCCGCCATGAACTGTGGCCTAGCCATGCCACCCTGCCGTGGAGCCAACTGAGTATGGACTGAAACCTCCAAAAACTGTAAGAAATAAACCTTTCCTTTTCTAACTTTGGACATCAGGTATTTTGTCTCAGCGATGAGTAAGAAGTAACTAAGACAAATGCCAAATGCATTTTCTTTAGCATAAAACTATTAATTCCATAGCTTTGTTCCTCAGAATTTGGGAGTGGGTGTTTCATAAGATGGGGTCTTGCTAGGTAACCCAAGCTGGCCTGGAACCACAGTGATCCTCCTGCCTCAGCCTCTGGCCTGCTGGGATTACAGGTGTGCACCCAACTGTCAGGACTCTTGTTTGTTTTCAGCATTTTGTAATTAGAGATGATGCTGGCCTGGTTTCCACTAGAGATGGGGCAGGGCAGGGCAGGGGCCAGGCATGCTGGACACCTGGATGCCCCTCCTGTCCTCACTGGGCTTTGTGCCCTGGGCCTTGAAATCAGGCTTTATCTCCTGGCTACTGATGCACCCCAGCACTGGTGCCTGGTCCAGGGCAGAGACTCGGCAAACATGCGTGGAGTGGACTCTCACTCAGACAGAGCGGCTGCGAAGGGCTGGGCAGGGTCCAGGTTCCCTTTCTACAGCTGGGTGGTACTTTTCTCTTGTTGCTGGTACAAAATACCTGACACCCAAAATTAGGGAAGGAAAGGTTTATTTAGCTCATTGTTTGTAGAAGTTTCAATCCATAATCAGTTGGCTTCAAGGCAGGGTGGCATGGCACTGGGCAACACTTCAAGGCAGCAGCCAGCAAAAGCAACCAGAGCAAAAGAGGGGAAAACAGGCTTCTTCTTCTCTCTTATACTATATGCAGGCCACCCTCCCCCAGGGCAGGTGTATCTCTCACACCACCTCTGTGCACAAGTTGAGGATATTTACAAAGTAAGGATTCTGGCTCCCTGCTGAGTCTCTCAGTTAAACTTCTAAACTTCTCAAATGGCACAATGTGTCAACCATAACAAGTGGTGAGGTCCAGAGACAGGGCCTGGGTCTGTTTGGTGACCTCGGAATACGAAGGCGGCAGGGCTGTGAGAGCAGCTCTATGAGATGTGCCCTGCAGCTCTGGGGCCAAGTGGGCCTTGCAGCCCACCAGCGATCAGGGCTGAGGAAGATACCATGTACTTGCCTTTGGCCACCCACCCACCTATCTGCTGGCATTCACCCATCGCTATCCCTTTATCTGTCCACTCTCTACCCACCCATCCATGTCCACCCATCCGTGTCCACCCACCTGTGTGTCCACCCGTCCCTTCATCCACCTATCTACACTTTTTCTTCTTTGCTTCTTTAAAACAGCAGAGCTCACAATGTGACATTTTATAGCCTGCCCTTTTCAGGTCACATTTCAGTGCACTTTTTTTCCCATAGAATATTCTGTGACAGAGACACAGTTTAACTACATTTCTTTCATTATTGGGATTTTTAAAATTATTGAATATTTATGTTTGTTGCCCCCCTAATACTGGGGAGCTAAGTCTCCAACCCATTTTCAAATTTTTTATGTTAAGACAAGGCTTTGCTAAATCAATAAATTGCTGTTTGGCCCTGAACTTGTAATCCTGCCTCAGCCTCCTGGAGTTTTGAGAATACAGGCTGTGCCACTAAGACCACCTGACATGTATGTTTCCCCAACTTCCTGCAGTAACAATTCCCACAGGATTGGCAGCCTCCTTCACACAGAGCATGTTTCGGCTCACATGGTGACCCCCTTATGCATCTCTGCCTCTGGTGCAGGAGCCCCGAACCACCCTGCAGAAGCTCAGTGACTTCCTGGGCCATCCACTGAAATCTGAGGAAGAGGACTTTGTCCTGGAGCACTGCAGTTTCTCCTTCATGAGCCAGAGCAGCATGGTCAACTACAGCTTGGTGCCCAAAGAGGTCATGGACACCAGCCGGGGCCGCTTCCTGCGGAAAGGTACTGAACATGGGCCTGAGCCACCCACACTTCCCTGTGATGAGGCCATGCCTGGACCCGCTGCCTTGGGAGCTCCTCCCTCTGAGGACCCTGTGTCCTTGAAACTCCTGCCTGAGGCTGCGCTTCTCAAGGCTGGGTGAGCCACAGAGGAGATGCCCCAAGCTGTGCACAGCCGACCCAGGTCCTGGCTTCTCCCTAGTTGTGGCTGCCACGGGCAGGGTCCCCTCTGCCCCCGGTGATTCTGAGGCCCCGACCCGCTCAGCTCCAACGCTGCTACCCCTTATGTTCCCAGAGTCCAGGCTCTGAAGCCCCTTCCCTGCAGGACCTAACCCTATGGCCTCATGGTCTGAGAATCAACATGGTAGCCTGTGCGGCCCACAGAAGAGAGACAGAGAGGAAGTCGCTTACACCTAGACAGCTCAGCCAGCACCAGCCACATGGCTGGGGTCTGCCGTGCGAGCAGCCTCTAGAAAAGTTCTGAACAAAAGGCAGCCCCATGCTGTGTTCATCGGGCTGTCGGCATCTCTGGGCACACGGCAAGTGTCCTTGGGACACGTGGGATGGGAGAGTCCTGGCTCCTCATTTAACGACTCTAGTCTTGTCACTACAGCACCTAAAAATGCCTTGGTGCTGCCTCTATCCCCGTGGGACCTAGGGAGACAGACAGGGCTCGGTGGTCGGAGCCCCTCGAAGTCTCACTCATGCAGTGTCCTGGGCCCTCAGCACCTCCACTCCCCTGTGGCCAAATGCACCGTGGCTTCTGGGGCAGCCAAACGACCACAGTCTGCAGACCATGGTTGTCACATTCACACTGCACTTGGGGCATCTCAGGGCTGAGCTTGCTGTGAGGCTGGGCCCTTCCTGGCCTCTCCTGCTGTAGCCAGGCCCCCTGGCCTGGTGGAGCCCTTGCCTCTCTCTCCCCTGTCTGCCACACTACTTCTATCCAATGAGGACAACAGGGCCATCTTTGCCATCTGTCTGAGGGACCCACAGTTGCTGTGGTGTACACTGATCCTCCACTGTCTTTCCCCAGGTGTCATGGAGGACTGGAAGAAGCACTTCTCTCCAGAGCAGAATGAGAAGTTCAATGCCATCTACCAGGCCAAGATGGGCGACTTGGGCCTCCACCTCCCTTGGACCATGGACTGATCCCAGCCATCCCACGGCTTGCCCTGCATAGAGTCCCAAACTCCTTAGGTGTGCCAACCCCAATGGCAATAAACATAGAGTCGAGGGGCTCGACTTGGTCAGCGGCTGTCTGTGCCTCCCCTTTGCTCCCCACTGCACCCCAATGGAGCTGCTTCGGTGTGTTCCTCTGCCACGTCCCACTCCAACGTGAATACACCCCTGCAGGCAGCATTGCACACTCCCCGCTTTAGCAACTGGCCATAGCTCTGTCCCTGGGGAAGGACAGCGAGAGGATGAGAAAATAAAGAAAAGACGTAAAAGCTGAGGTCTCTCCTGATGGGAGAGAAGAGACTGCTCAAATGCTGTAACTCCATTATTCATACTCAGAAGGACAGTGTCAGTTCCAACCCCGTTGCCTAGCGACTTGTTTGGCTGGCTGGCTGGGGCCCCTTGCCTTCTTGGAACTGAAGCAGCTTGTTTACATGGCTTGTTTTGAGCTCTCTGTGTTTTCAGGGCTGGCCTTGCTTTAACCCCACATGTGATCAATCTCCAGCTCCCTACACAGCTCACTTTACTGTTTTGTCGTAGCACAGGATGGATGGTCAGTTGAAGCTGGAGGAGCTGTGTTTGAAGAACTCTGTGAAAAACCTTTTCATTCCTGAACCCTTTTCATTTTCAGGGTAATCCAAGAATTTTAAATTCTTGCATTCAGTTATTGAACCCTGCATAGTCATTAATTCATAAGAGTAGACAGCTATCAGTGTCAGAATGTTACTGATTTGAGTTTTTTTTATAACTAATATATTACCATGACATTCTTTTATATACCGCTAGTAATTATACTTTTCTGCAGGATGTTCAAGACCACGTGAAAGTGGTGAGGCCTATAATTAATTACAATCGGTTTTTGTTATTTGTCATGGTCAGTTAAAGTCTCCTGAGGAATTGCCTTGGAATCATGCGTAGCACCTCTTTTTTGTCAGTGTCAGCTGTCTGGATGAGCCACAGCTGTTGCTTGACCAAGTTGCTTTTTTGTGAATACTTGGGAACCCTTTTCTCCTGGTGACTCTCCGTAGGCACACCACACACTGATGGTCACTTTCCTCTGTGGTCTCACAATCCTCTGGACCAGAAGATCAGGGACTCACTGAGTATAGCATGACATGCAGAGGTTCTCTGATGTCCTGGGTCCTCAAGGACCTCAGAGGGCTAGGGCTAAAATACTAGCCCATCTATCTAATTTTTGGTCTCCAAACATCAATAGCTGAACATGCAGAAGAAAAGATTGATAACAGTACAGTGTAGTAGAGGCAGTAAGCTTAACATTATTATTTTATCTAAATATCAAACATATTAGAACATAAAATAGAACAATTATTTTTTAACAACCATGGATGATTTAATATTTGAATACTTGTAGAATGTTAACAGTTGCATATTTTACAGAGAAGTCAAAACCATATACTATTTGGTCCTCTGACACAAGAGGGAGACAAAAGGAGAGAAAATGGAGAAATAAAGAAAAGTGGACTTCACTGCAGCATGGGAGGGCTGGGGAAGAGAAGCAACACCCTCTGAGGCAGAGGAGGGAAACCGCAGGCTTTTACTTGGTTTTGACAGGGTGGAGTTGATGGGCAGGCAGAACGACGCGTTGACAGCTGATTGGGGGAGCGCTGGCACAAGCTCAAAAAGCAGGAGGTTCAACTTTTGAGTTTGCCAGAGGTGGCAGTCAGTGCTAAGGGGAGGCGCTGTCCCGTACCGTGTGGACTCCAGAGAACACACGTGGGAAAATTCATCATATACAACATTATAGCATGACAACCATGATGACATTTTGTAGCACATTTGAATTGTCATTTTGGCTTGAAATGCCTCCTTTTAGTCAAGCATCTCTATCTAATGCATAAAAACTTGTACCAAACTTGACTTCAGCGGAATGTACATCTCATAAGCATTTGTTGAAGGTCTGACTCTGAAACAAAGTTCTGTTACCATAAACAACCCCTGTTTTACATTTTGGAAAACTGGTACATCTGGAGGCATAAAGACATGACTACACCCTGAGGTTAGAACAATCCCTTGTCACAGCCAAATGATGAAAACCTTTGTATGGGCATCGTGAACACAGTGCAATAACAGATGTTTATAACTTTAGTTGGGTGTCTCCCGTAAGGCTGTGGAGAGCACCGGGGCCGCCGATCAAAGGACAACAGCTGGTTAAATGTTACCAGGCAGCTGCTGTCTTGTCAGCTGGAGTCCTGGCCGATAAATTATCCACACTCCAAGGGATTTTGTTTAATCATCTTAATAATTTTTAATGACTTACGGAATACCCAATCACAATATTTAACATATTATTTTTGAACAATGAGAGATTTTCCAGTTAATAATAAGCAACAATAAACATCCCATTTACATAATCAATTTTAGCAACATTTTGACTAGCATGTTTTTAAGTCTATTATCCAAATTCAACTTTGATTATTGATCCAAAAATGTACACACTAAAAAAGAAAAAATTGTTGAGCTCAAATAAAAGGAGCAGCTGTTTACAGAATGGACAAATGGACAAATGTGGAGAGACCATCTGTACAGATTCAAACACACACAGAAACAAGTACACAGCTAGTCGGTGTCCGCGAGAACTACGTTCCCGGGCCGGGTTATATGTACACTTGTTGTATCATGCCCCATTGCTGAACTAGCTCACTTCTTATGCCCTGTGTTCTTGGGGTTGAACACCTGCTCTCTGTTCTCCAGCCCGCAGTGTTTCTTAGGTGCTCCATGCCCTTGGGCACTCCTGTGCGGGCACTTGTGCCTTCTGCTCTGCATGTCTGAACAGTCACTAGCTCAGCAACTCCCAGTGACAGCTGGGTAAAACAGATACACAGGCTGACTGACAAACATCTTACAAAATCAGAGTGCACTCATGTATATTTTAGCAAAACTGAATCATACTATTCAGCTCTTTGATTTTTGTTTTTATTTACCATCTCTAGGGTAGCCTGGATCAGTTCCTTCAGTGCGCTCCAGATCTGGTCTGGCCCCATCCTTACCTGTTGGTTCTGGCACAGTCTCTGCGGCCTCAGTGACATGAGAGGTGGAATCAACTCCTTCTCTAGGTTTGGGTCCATGATACAGCCAGACAGCATGCTGTGGCACGAGGTAGGCCATTCAGCATTCTCTAGAGAAACACAAGTATCCCCTCCACCCCAAATTAGCCCTGAGCTAGGTCCCTTCCATTGTCCAGCACGAAGATCTTTCTGAAGGAAAGATCTAGCTTCCTTTTATCTGACTGAATTGTCTTGCTGCTGTAATTCCATCTTAGTAGGATATAAAACTTCAATAGCACGTATTGCCCCATGAAGCCTGGATGAAACTCCTCCCTTTCTTTGTTTTTGCAATTAAATTTTGAGCAAGTTTAATCATTTTTAGCCTGTGTCTGGGTTAAATGGAGCTGTTATCATAAGGCAGAAGCATGTCCAGGGATGGCAGCATGGCCTTTGAAGAGCGCTGAGCAGCGGCAGTTCATGGTAGCAGAACACAGCAAAGGAGGGAAGCGTACCCCGCTTTTCCTGCGTACCTTGTCGGCGGGTCACCCACCCAGGGCGGGTGCGGCAGGCACAGCATCTCTCTGCCCTACTTCTGCACAGTACAAGAGTGTTTACAAAGTGAGAACCGGCCCTCACCCAGGGGCTAAGCCAAGCTTCCGAACTTCAAGTTGACACAGTATATCAACCATTCCCACCCACCACTGTGGACTTGGCCACTAGACACATTGTTTTAAACCAGTTTCTAGCTACAAAGACAAGTTTATTTTTAACATTTTACAACTTGGACATTTTAACACAGATTTAACAATCCTTAAGAACAAATGTAAGTCTGTCCACCTTATACTACATTAGAATCCTAACATTTCACCCTTGTAGCTGAACAAGCAGCACTGTTTTTCACCTTGTCTGGCCAAGCTCCAGGCTCAGTGGTGCTCTTTGGTTCCGTCCCTGCTCAGCAGCCTGTGAGAAGCAGTGAGAGGAACAGAAAGCAGCTGTTTCTCCCTGTTCTATAACCCTTTAAAGTCTGCGGAGTCCAGATAGATTTGTGTTAGCTTGCTTTTCCCTGGCCTTGACCTAAGCTGATTTCCCATTTCCTACCAAGTATGTAAATTTGTAATTCCTTCTTCTGGAAACAAACTCAAGAAATTTAACAAGCTGTGTGGTGTCAGTGTATTGAAGACTAAAAATTATATAAGAAAGCAAAAAGACCTAAATAAATATAGTTACATTAATCTTGAATTTGAAACAAGTATCCTAGAAGTAAACAATTTTGAAAAAAATAGAATTTGAGAATTTACACCAGTAGACACCAGGATTCCCTGCAAAGCCATAGTGAGATAGGGATAGGCTGGCGCAGGCCTATATTCAACGCTGAAATCAAATGTTGAATGTTTACAAGTATTACAGGTTAGTTGTCATTGTATTAGTTCTTTTCTTTTCTTTTTTCTTTCTTTCTTTACTTTTTTTTTTTTGTCTTTTTGAGACAGTCTCACTGTGCAGTTCAGGCTGGCCTTGAGCTCACTTTGTACCCCAGGCTGGTCTCAAACTCACAACAATCCTCCTGCCTCAGCCTCCTGAGTGTTGGGAGTACAGGCGTGAGCCACCAGGCCCAGCTTTGTATTAGTTATTTTCAAATAACAATTTTAATTGTCTTTTGTAAGAGTATCTTTTAAATAAAACCCAACAAACCACAAATCAGGACCGCAGCCCAACCACCAGGAGCCTGCTGTGCCAGGGACGGCCCTCTCCCCTCTCAGGAAGCTTCTAAGAGGTTTCCTTCTGGCATGGGAAGGCCTTCCACATCGGTTCTGAATTTGCATCGCGTGGCCCACTTGTATCCCCGTCTAGACTTTGGACAGATGATGGAAGGTTTTCCTGGAGGGACAGAGCGGCTGTGTCGCCCTCACAGGTGTAGCAGAGCAACTTTCGGAAAAGCCCCCCTCCGGCCCCCCCACACCCCCGCAAACGAAAACCAGCATCTTCCATCGTCCCTTCCATCGTTCCTTCAGGCTGTGAATTGGTGACCTGAGTGCCAGCTGCTGCCAAGGCAGCCCCTGCCCACATGAGGGCCAATGCCTGCACAAATTTCAATCCTCTCAGCCAGTGTGGCCCATGTTTTTGTGGGCCCTTAAAGCCTTTTCACACCAATTATTTGTATTTTCAAAGCCTGATTGTTGAATGATTAACTGAAAAGATGACTCTGTCTTATGAAGGGCGGAACTTGGAGCCTGTGAGGTAGCAAAATTTTCCCGAGCCGAGAGAGCAGA